TGGGCCTTGAGGATAAAGAGGAGAAACGGTAATAGTCGGAGTTTCTATCAACTCCTTAGCCCAAAGCTTCGTCAGGAAAGGTTGGTTTTGGCTAATCATGATTGATGATTAAACATAAAACTCGGCTCCTAATATCAATATTCAGTGGGAAATATGCAAGCTACAAAAACAACCTAATAGTATAACATTTATTAATAGGCATGGAATTATCTCAATGATGGGGGATATCCAAATCCACTCGCAGCAAGATAATCCAAAAAAACTTGTCATGGCAAGGATGCAGACAATAGATATACTATTGATTTTACTCTAGCTTTCCTCAAGTTTAAGTTGATTTTAATTGTTTTTTTTCCTTCTAAGCTTTTATATAGGCAAGACATATACAACATATAAAAATAGAAATTCAATAGAAACGGCAACTTCAGAGGAAAAGTATAGTACTCAAAAAAACTATAACAGAGCATAGATGGAACCATCAGACATAATGAAATAACCTATTTTAAGGAAACCACGATTAATAACAAAACCCAAATTGTAGAAAGGTTGAGAACCAAACAAAAATACATGATTGAGTAGAAAAAAATAGATACAAACTGTTAAGAGTTCTCATTTCATCTTATTAATCTCAATCTAATATTATTAACTTTTGAATTCATCCACAAAAAATTGTTCACAAAAACAATTTTGAAACGCGCACAGTAGTTCACAGACGCAATCAATTATTTCAGCAATGAATGACTGATTAGGAGACATAAAACTAGATGTCGTATCGAGGGAAAACAAACATATTCATCTAATAGGCTCGAAACCCTAGGTCCTGACCTCCCCAGGACAAATCGATAATCAAAATTTCTAATTTACATAGTTTTAAATATTCTGGAGATCCTAGAACTTGTTATTCACAAGTAAATATACTTATACCATCGCAGAAGTAAAGATTATAAAGATGAACCGGCCCTTACGGCCAATCTATCAACAATATCTAAATAGTAGATCAATCCAAAGATGAAGATTGGCACGCAAATCAAGATGTCCCCAAGCCCTAGATCCGGACTCCATGAATCGAACACGATCTATAAACAACAGAAAATCTAGATCTATTCAGGTAATAACCTAGATCTACCTTTCTAGGGATGGATCTAAATAACACACAAGATTAAAATCGCTAAAAAAAAAGAAAATTAGCAAAATCATCTACAGTGTATAGAAGACCTAGATCGGGTTCTTGAAACTAAAAACAGCAAACAAACAGCAAGAAATTAAGATCTGATCAAATAAAACCCTAGATCTAGTCACAAAAATATAGATCTACGGTGTCGAATTAAGCAAACAAAAGGAGAGAAAAGGAAAAAAAATACCTTTAGAAATTGCTGAAGAGAGATGAGAAAATTTTTTCTTTTATTTTTTTTTTCCTTCAGAGAAATTGAGAGTTTTCGTGGCTTAAGAGAGAGGAGGGGATTGAGGGTGGCATTTATAGCACGAGGGAGAGGGCGGTGGGTGACGGAGAGCAAAAATTCAGATGAGGGTTCCTTTCCGTGTGCGGCCAGGGATTCTTGGCTTTGCTTGGACCGCAGTTGTTTTGAGACTTTTTTTTTTTTTCAATTGCGTAAACGACTCGTATTCTTACGGCCCAAATTAGCCCAACAAAAATAATATTTTGGGTTAAAAAAATTAAAATCTGTACGGTGGAGATGCGGGGTATCGATCCCCGTACCTCTCGCATGCTAAGCGAGCGCTCTACCATCTGAGCTACATCCCCAAGACAGTCTAACGTTACAACTGACAATCTAGTTAAAGAAATGTTAGTGTTAGATCATCATCTCACCAGTTCGCTTTTGTGAAGCCATTGAGTCATGAATTTATTTTTAAAATTTTTGGTATACTACATAATGCAAAATATAAAAAACTTTTTTTTTGAAGCTAAAAATAGGGTGAGGGACCTGCTCAAATTATATATATAAATGAAAAGAAAGTGTAACACTAGTTGTACATGAAAATCAAAAGAAATAAATAAATTGGGAGCAGGGGGAAACGAAAGTGGATGTGGTCGGTGGGGGGAGGACCTTTATCGTCACCAACCAGACGACATCAACTTCGCTTCCCTAGCTCCCGATAGCAAAAAGAGAGAAAAAAAGAAGAGGAAAAAAGAGAAGGTAATGACGATTCAAACTACTACAAATCTAAGGAATGAAGAGCATTCCTAAGATAGTAGGAGAGCCAACAAAAAACATATTTCAACCAGCTGACGAACAGACCCGCGACTGGTTACCCAACTGCGGTCGTATTGAAGAGGAGAAGGAGTAGAAGAGGAGGAAGAGGATTTACCCTTAGAACCTCCCGGTGGGAAGCTTTTCTTCATGATGGTCAGGTGCTTTCTGTGCGGAAGTTTGGAGAGCAGCTTCCTTGTTGACTTTTTCTTAGAAACCTTTTTAGGCTTTTCGAACCCTAGAGGAGGATCCGAAGAAGCAGCTACATCTAGAGAGTCCCCAGAGCTGCCGGAGAGGAGAGGGTTCTCTTGGATGATAGGAATATGAGGAGCATCTTCACATAGAGGCGGAATTGCAGACAGTCTGGCCCAGGATTCTCTAGTGATCTGGATGTTGACACCTTGATAAACCACATCAATGAGGTCTGGAATAACAAGGGGGCGATGCTCAAGAATGGGCTGCAGGGAAGGAGGAGGCAACTATGACCCCTCCTCTTCGACCATCACTTGTTTGCCTTTGGCGGAGGGGGTGGGGTCAGCTACATCAATCTTGTTGACTTCTGAGGAAGAGGGGATCATGTTGGGGACCATAATGGACTCATCCAGGGAAAACAATAGGGTACACTCTCTGCGAACAAAATATTCAAATTTTTCCCTGCACTTGCCTTTGATGACGGGAAGGGGCTTCCCAACAACACAGAGCTTGACTGAACCTTTCATAAGATGGACATCGTCCGGGGACGCGTATCTAAAAGTAATAGATATGGGGATCTCAGAAACATCCCTGACGCTCAATAGAACTTCGCCCTTTTTTTATAGGGTACCATTACCGCCTTATGCTATTCATTGACAGTGAATTTTCAAGGGTGTGCGATTATTTGGTAGTGTGTAGGGTGAAAATTTGATTCTTCCGAAGAAAGGAGTTTCGTTTGTATTTATAAGAAAGCTTATTACAAACTAACAAATCAAATGTTTACAACAGAAGCAGAGGGAAGGCCCTCTTTGTTTTGTGTGGGGACTTTAGGTGGCTATAGGACGCTTCGCTCGATGCTCGGGTCGAGTCTGCTTCCCTTGGACCGTTTGAATGAGGTTGCTGGAGAGCTTCAGTTCGCAGTAGAAGCTCGGGGCAATGGAGTTCGGGTCTGCTTAGTTCGTCGGCGATCGGAGCTCGGAACTAGGCAGCAGTGCTGTAATGCAAGGATTTGCTAACAGCTTGGTCTCAACTCTTTTTTCTCCAAGTTTTGCGACCTCTCTTCCATCGTGCTGGAAGGGATTTTTAAATGAAAGAAGGACAGCTTGACTTCTCCTTGAATTGTGGGATGTGACCACATCCTCTTCAGAGACGTCTCGCCGTTCCTCGATACCATGAATGGTCATTCCAGGGATTGTGCTCTATGTCCTGTCACCTACGATGGGAAGGCCCATTCTTGTATGTGAGGCAACAAACGACTGCTATCCGAGTGGATTTGACCAGCATTAATGAACCGTATTTATGAGTTCGCAGATCGATGAAGTGTCTGTCCGATCACTTGTACTGTGCGTGACCGCCCGACGTGCTTTGAGCACGACGCTTTCTCCTTTCCGGTCAGGAGAGGCGGTGAAGTAGGTGTACAGTACTCGAGTGGGTCTAGCCAGCTTGCCGAGTGCCGACGGATCCAGCTCTTGGTTCAGACAGCCGAGGTGAGTCGCATTTATGAATGCTCAGGTTGACTCGACGCCTGTCCAGTCCTTCGCGCTGTGTGCACTGTGGGCGGCCGTTTGACGGTCCTGGGGTACTGTGCTCTCTCTCCCTTCGGGTCGAGAGAGATGGGAAGGTCCATCTCAGCATGTGGGGTAGTGGATACCCAGCTGTACTGACGGTTTTGGGGCTTGCTGGCGGATTCGACTCCGAACTCGGGCAGGCGAGTTGAGCGAAGAGCGAATTTCCGCCATCCTGATCGACCCTAACTCGTGCTGGCGAGTCGACCGTTAGGCGAACCTGGACTTGAGTACAGTCGACGTCTACGCGGTTTAGGTCCGTGCCAGAGAACTGGGCGTGCGAGCTCTTCTCGTAGGCAAATTTCCTGTAGACCCATAGAGGTATTTTTTACCGTCTACATAGTGAAAGTGGCGATGGGTAATCAATTTAAGGGCATAACTTTTTCCCATCTTTTTCTATCTTATATAGTGTTATCCGATTTTAATATTTCAATGTGATAGGAGCGACCCAGTAGGTCACGTGATAAAGCCGTGTCGCTCTCACGTGAGAGGAGGGGCATGTGTTTCGATTCTCGTGTGAGCGAAAGACATGATCAATTCTAATCTTTTAGAAAATATAGTTATTACTTTATGGAACTATGTTCTCACTAAAAGAAAACAAATAGAGTCGTTAAATGTAGCAATTGATCTTAGAATAGAAAAAAACCTGAGAAGTCTGTCTCCAATTATCTAAAATAATTAGCCATAGCATACTAACTTCAACAAAGTTTAGGTAGCACCTAACATATTGTTTACATATATATATATTCATATTTTCTTTGCTCGAATTATTACTAAAGGAGCGTTCGACAACCGTGACGTTTTTGCCGTTTTTGTTTTTTTTTAACAAAAACAAAGAAACATGTTTGGTAACCGTGGTGTTTTTTTGACTTGTCCCTTTACAATATCTAAAAATTAAACACTTTTCTCAAAACACCAAAAAGGTGTTTTAAGATTCTGTTTTTTCATCTAAGCCACTGCAACCGCTCGGGCCCCAGCCTTCGCTGTCGGACCCGTCGCCACCTCGCCGCTACCAACCCTCCCCCCTCCGCGGCCACCACCCCCCACACGCTTTGAATTGTACCAACGCGCTATCTAGAGGGCTATGTTTATTATAGTTTTAAAACGCTGGCATGCCATAAACGTGGCTATTTAAATGGATTTTATTAAAGTTGATATCACTTATTAAGTATCTCTTATAGCTTGATATATCTGATTCTTGAACGCCAATTGAATGGGTAATTTTAACATCATAATGACTTTTATCCCCAATTTTGGTTGTTGTCCCACATGCTCGTCTGTCCTGTCCGCTGCGTACTCCGCAATTGCAGTCATCTCCATCCCATAAATAAAGTGTGTGCACGTTCCGCCCGGCCTAGGCCTGCCCGCCCCGCCGCGCTCCGCCGGCCGCCGCCCGCCACGCCGTCAGCCGGCCGACCCGTCACCCTTCACCGCACCGTCATCCTACTCGCCAGCCGCTGTTCTCCGTTGGCCACCAGTCGGCGGTCGCGCCCAGCCACCCGTCGCCGTCGCTCCGTCTAGTCACGGGCCACCGCCACCGACCCCCGCTGCCGCCGCCGCCGCCACCGCGCCCGCCGCCTGTCGCCGCCTCCTCGCCGGCCACTCGCCATCCGCTCGGCTAACCACGACCACCCGCCGCCCGCCTGGTCGGCCGGCCGCCGGCCACCCTACCCCCGCGCACCACCACAGCCCGCCGACCACCTGTCGGTGCCCATCGCCGTCTGTCCTGTCGGCCGACCACCGCCAACCGGCCACCTCTACCGCGGCACTCAGACATTAAATAATCCCGCCCACGGCTAGCTGATAGTCGTATCGTTCGCCTGTCTGGCCACTCGCCACCCGCCCGCCGCTGCCGCCGCTATATAAATGGTCAAACTAGTTTGACCAAAATATTATTTTCAAAACACATTTGAAAAAAAAACACCATGACATGGTGTTTTAAAAAAAAAAAAAAACACATTGATTACCAAACGCACACTAAGTTATTATAAAAGTGATTACTAACAGTATATGACAATGTTGTGACTCCATATCAGAAATTATTCAACCGTCTAAGTTATAAATGCAAGGCGCAAAAAATAGAAATTATTCTGAATGCTCTACATTCTATTGTTCAAATCAGTACGAGAGGATAGAAAAACAGTATACTAAACAAGGAGGGGCAGAGGCAAGATTGGGGGGAGAATAGAGTTCTTTGGTATCTGGATTCCTTTCTTTCTTTCTTTATTTATAGTAGTGATGCTGATGGAAAAATGTGTTATAGGAATTTATTTTAACCATCATATAAGCAATATTAGTCATTAGATTGGGTATTCATTGGTGAATAAACAAGTAGGCACGTAGGAGTGGGTTATTGGCGCAATCATTCGAAATTGACTTAATTAAACTTAGTTATCCAAAGTGGATCTATAAAAAATTATACACAAACATATGACATAATCCACTATTAGTTTTTTTAAAAGAAAAAGTTGTTTGCTTTATACTCTGTTACCCATGCCATATGATTGTCACAACCTAAATGACATAATATTTTGTGTGATATTGCTATTATGGATTGGTGCTTAGAGGCTAGAAACCCTGTAGGAACTTAGGCTAGTGATGATTATGCACAGGCCTCATTTTGATTTGAAAGTGTAATGTATGATCTGAAAACTGCAAATTTGAAAACATAAGGTGCTCGAATGCAAAACACTATCGAAACGAAGCCTGCCTAAGCGGACAAATTTTCAAAACTACCCCTTTTCAAAACGACCCCTTTACTTGTGCACCGTGACCTACAGGGGCAGTTTCCTTTGGCGTACAAGTATAATTGTACACACAAATTTTATTCGCACTGAATTTGTACTTATATATTCTCTATTCTGCATATAGGTATAACGTGCGGTACGCTAAGTACCGATCAGCGACGCGCCATCGTGAGTTTTACCGCAATGAGCTTGATGGCCTCCAACACGAACAGGTAAATATAAATCTCAAGTCGTTATGAATATTATAGTTTTGTTGTTGATACTGATAAATTTTTTATTTTATTTCAGTTCAAGTGGAGACCCTATACACCGCCGGAGCTGGATATGCATTCTCTTTCACCCATCTGCCGAGATAGTCCCGACTTGTGGAGAGCGAGAGTTCCATTGATTTGTTGGGAGATCGTGGAGATGCATGTTCCTGACCGTGTGCTACGACAGTTTACGCTCTCTCAGCATGTGCCAGAGCCTGTCGAGCAGATCTCTCGTCGGCGGCGACCTACTTCGCACCATACCGACTGGGCCGTAGTCCGTGCGGCCTACATAGATAGGTGGGCTCACAGGTGGGATTTCATCCAGGATACGAGGCCCACGGCTGTTGACTATACAGCGTATATGAGTTGGTATTGGGATATCACACGTAGATGGATCACACGTGACCCACAGCCCTTAGCTGGACACATGCCACGGCCACCGACAGACATTTACATCCCTAGTGGGATGAACGAGAGAGATTACGTAAGTTTCTAAGCTAAATTATAATATTTTTTTTTCTTGAGTTGGTACTTAATAAATTATTTACCTCACAGGTCCGTGCTTTTGATAGCATTGAGGCTGATATTGATGCGACCGTGCCTGAGATTCAGGATCAGGTGGCGTTAGGGCTCCTCGGCAGGATCAAGAAGACCATAGCACAGGTGTTTCATAAGACTCACGTCGACGAGTTCGCAGGCCGTGAGGAGGAAGAGAGGGAGAGGAAGGAGAGGAGCTATATTGGGTTGTATTTGAACTTATTTTGTTAAAATTTGTAAATTGTATGAATTTTCAAATACTATACTTTTATGGATCAATTATAGCTCGATATGTGATCTTCTTGCGTATTGTTTGATTCGTGCGTGTTTAAATAATATATATTGCAGTAATTATTGTCAACAGGTAAATATTTGTATATATGAGTTAAATAGGTCGACGTATGCATGCTGTGCATGTAATGGAAAACCTGCAACTTCACGGGAGTTCAACTCCCGTGAAGTTACAGTCCAAAATTCCCAGAGATCGACTCTCTGGGAATGTTGGACTGTAACTCCACGAGAGTTGAACTCCCGTGGAGTTTTAAGCAGAAATTAAACTTCACGGGAGTTCAACTCCCGTGAAGTTTAATTTCTCGATAAATTTCACGGGAGTTGAACTCCCGTGATGTTTCGGAATTTTTTTTACAAAAACCGACCTGTTTTCAACGCTGAGCTGAAAACAGGTCGGTTTTTGTAATTATTTTCAAAAGGAATCGTTTTTTGCAAATAAAATCCAAAAAAGGGTGGTTTTGAAAATTTGTCCCTGCCTAAAAGCCAGTCGAGCTCTATATATATATAATTTTAATTAATTCCACCCACCCACCTCCATTTTTTCAATTTCGTTCATATCCCTAATTAAGAAAGATTTAGAGAATCCTATTTGGATCTCTCTCATCGACTCATCGACGAATCTCGAAATGAGCACCGGCGAGCTACTCGAAATCGATCCCCTCGAACTCAAATTTCCATGTAATTCCTCTTTCCCCTTCTCGATTCGCATCTGATCCAATTTTAGTTTTTTTTCCCCTTCTGTTTTCTGTTCGATTCGATTAATTTCGTGGTTTCGGCTTGATCAGTTGAATTAAAGAAGCAGATCTCATGCTCCATCCAACTTTCCAACAAAACCGATGACCATATCGCCTTTAAGGTAACTCTCAATAATTTCGTCATTTAATTCAATAAAAGTTTGAAATTTTTCCTTTTTTTTTTTGATTTTTCTCCCTTGATTTAGGTCAAGACTACGAGCCCGAAGAAATATTGCGTTAGGCCTAACACCGGGATCGTCTTGCCTCGATCTACGTGCGATGTGATCGGTATTTTTTTAATAAGATTTTACTTCAGTTTTAATCATAACATCGTTTCCTATTTTGTTTGTTTTGAATGAGATTACATTATTTGGGATTTGTTTGTAGTTACAATGCAAGCGCAGCGTGAGGCGCCTCCCGACATGCAATGCAAGGATAAATTTCTTGTTCAGAGTGTTATCACCAAAGAGGGAGTCGCTCCGAAGGACATTACTCCGGAAATGGTATCACTTTTTTATTGCTTAATGTAGCTGCGATTCGATTTTAGTTTCATTGTGAGGGATTTTATTAGAATATGAAATAATTAGCTACTTGATGCGTGCAATTGAGTTTAAAGACTGTATATTGTTGCATGAATATGGATTTCGTTTTCTTGAGTTAAGAGATTTTTGGGTTCTTCTTTTAGAATTAGGATTGATGAATTAAACCTTTGTAGCTCATTTTGGTTCTAGTTAAAGCCAGGTTTGATGTATGCGATTTAGTTTCGGTTAGACAAAACACAAAAAAGTAATGTTATACTATGCAAGAAAATCCGAAATAAAAAAAATAAGAAAATCTGGCCTGATCGGAGCAGTCATGTAAATACTGTCCTAGAAGATTAAGAACCCGCCTATCGTCTTGACGCAGATGATCATCTCTCGCTTAACGGTAAAAACTCCTGAATCGGCCGACCTCTGAACTCGGGCGAGAGTGCAGAGCTTCTGCTCAGACGAAGAATGATTGCCCAAAATAACACAAAAATATGGAGAAAAATTCACTTTTTAAAGCAGAGGAGAGAAGAGAAAGAAGAGAGAATTGCTGTGTCTTCCGAGAAAGAGAAGGGCTGCTTATATAGTGTGGAGAGACATAACCCCTGTTGAATGAACGGAGCCGTTACATACGTTTTCCAAAACATGCTCATGAAATAGCCGTTACGGAGAAATCTTGGCAGCCGGTACCCGCACATTTCCCACATGAAAAACGTGTAAAAGAAGTCTAAAGAAATAAAAAGAACACGTGCGGTGTGGCGTGGCGCGCGTGCGTCGCGTGGCACGCACGCGTGAGCCAAAGCACAAACAATACAAGGCCCAAAACACTATTCAAAGCCCAATAAGAGGTGGAGCAATTTAAACCCCTTACTTTAATGACACTAGTCTATGTGGGACTATTCATGAAGGCAAAATTGCTTTTTCTCCCACAATATAGCTAACAATCCCCCTAAAAGGCAATATTTGACTAAAAACACAAAAATCAATAAATAAATCAATAAATCACAAAACAAATATAGGTTAGACAATCTTTCGTATCATGAATTCGGGAGAGGTAGCTTTCGGCCTGGAACTTTTTTTAGTGAGTTCATCGTAACCTGAGGGACATAATGGACTAGGTCTTGAATTAGACCCCTTGTACCAGGTATTGATGAAAAAACACAATATGTCTTTATCTATTGACTAAAGCGGTTGAGCGTTAAAGGCCATGCTCACAATAACCGACTCATGAGAGTTTCTAAGGGTTAGCCCAACTCCCCAATCACGGCCATCATGGTTCCTTACATAGGTAAGTCCTCCAAGGGTACTATAGCTGGATATCATATTCTTCACAGTACACGCGTTGGATTTATTAAGAGTAAAATTCAACCTAACCAGCTATATCATAAGAGCATCGTCACCATAGAGAAGGGGAAGCAGCAAATGCTGCTATAATGATATATGAATATATATAGGTCGATGCTCCACACGGGTGTCACTAATCTAGCTTGTTTTTACCATATTGAACCTACATTGGGACTGCGTCTCCAAATAAAGATTGAGTTCCCGCTATCAGTGACATCACTTATGGGCTTAACCCCACCTCCCTCGATGAATCCAGAACTACACTCCTGGATAAACTCTTAGTCAAAGGGTCAACAAGGTTCTTCTCAGACTTTACAAAATCTAAAATCACAATTTTACCTAGCAGGCGTTGTACTAATTTATATCTTATTTGAATATGTATGTTCAGTTTTTTATTTACACGCACTTATGTTCAGTTTTTTATTTACACGCACTTGCTTTATAAGCTCTATAGTGGATCTAGAATCAGAATGAATTGAAATTGGAGGAGAGAGTTTAGGGACCAAAGGAAGTTCAAAGAGTAGATTTTTAATCATTCTGTTTCTGTGCAAGTAGTATCAAGAGCAATCAATTCAGACTCTATGGTGCTCCTGATAATTACTGTTTGCTTACAGGATTTTCAGGGTACATCAGCAGCACAAAAAAGGAATACATATCCAGATATAGATTTTACACTATTAGAATCCGTGACCCAGTTAGCATCACTATACCCTTCTATAGCATCAGTGTATCCAGTGTAAGTCAAGCAATAATCAACTGTGCCTTTTAAATATTTAAATATTCTCTCTAAGACAATCCAATGATCTTTGCTGGGGTTACTGGTATATCCGTTCAGTCTCCCTACAACATAAGCTATATCAGATGTAGTCTGGTTAGATATGTATAGGAGAGATCCAATCAGCTGAGAATATTTCAATTGGGAGACAGATTCACCTTCATTCTCCTTCAAAGATATAGAAGTGTCATAAGGTGTAGAAACATGTTTAGAGTCATGAAAATTTAATTTGATCAACATTTTCTTAATACTATGAGAAAGACTCAAGGATATTCCTCTAGTGTCTCTAATGATTTTCATTTCAAGTATCATGTCGGCAAGGCCTAAGTCTTTCATGTTAAAATTCTTGGAGAGATAATCCTTAACATTTAGGATTTCTTCAAGAGTTGTTTCAAAGATAATGATATCATCTCATAGAGACAGATGACGACATAATCATTGTTTATCACTTTAGAATAGACACACTCAACGTGTTCATTCACAGTGAAGCTATATTATGCAATAATTTTGTCAAATTTCTGGTGTCATTGTTTAGGAGCTTGTTCTAGACCATATAGAGATTTAACAAGTTTTTAGACTTTGTTTTCCTGATCTTTGGCAATGAAACATTCAGGTTGGTTCATATAGATTTCTTCATCTAAATCATCATTCAGGAAAACAGTCTTGACTCTTGACATTCATCTGATGTATGATCAGCTTATGAATAGCAGCAAATGCTAATAATATTCGGATAGTTGATATTCGGGCTACATGAGAATATATATCGAAGTAATCGATGTCCTTTTGCTGAGTATAACTTTTAGCTACTAATCTAGCTTTATATTTATCAATGGAACCATCAGCTCTAAGTTTCTTCTTAAATATCCACTTACAACCAACATGTTTACAACCTGGAGGTAAGTCGGTGAGTATTCAAGTATGATTTTTCATGATAGGTCTTATCTCATTATCAATGGCTTCCTTTCAGAAAGGTGATTCAGGTGAATACATTGCTTCCTTAAAGAAGCTTGGCTCACCTTCAACAAGAAAGATAAAGAAATCTTCTTTAAAATCTTTTTGAATTCTACCTCTTTTACTTCTTCGAGGTCAATATAAAGAGGTTGAGAAGAACTAGAAGGTGGTTGATCAGAAGGAAAAGATGATATAGGATTTTCTGAGATTTTGGATTTGAAAGAAAAGATGTTTTCAAAGTAAACTGCATCTTTTGTTTCAATGATAGTATTGTTGGATATATCACTGATTTCATAGTTAATGATTAGAAATCTGTTAACATTGCTATCTAGTGCATATCCAATAAAAACATCTACAGTCTTAGAACCAATTTTTCTCTTCTTAGATTCGAGAATAACTACCTTAGCCAAGCAACCCCAAACCAGAAGAAGTTCAGACTAGGGGTTCTCCCCTTCCAATATTCATAAGGAGTTATATCAGAATGTTTATGGGGAATCCTATTGAGAATGAAGTAGACAGAAAGAAAAGCTTCACCCTAGTGTTTTTCAGGTGTTCCTGAACTGAGTAACATACAGTTCATCATATCCATAAGGGTTTTGTTCTTTCGTTCAGCTACTCCATTAGATTGTGGTGTATAGGAAGCAGTTACCTCATGAATAATATCGTGTTCTTGGTAATATTTAGTCATTTCATTTGAGGTATACTCCCATCACGATCAGATCTTAGAATCTTGATCTTTCTGTCAAGTTGGTTCTCATATTCAGCTTTATACACTTTAAATATATCTAAAACTTCATCTTTAGTTTTGAGAAGATAGGTGTAACAATATCTGGAGTGATCGTCTATAAAAGTCAAAAAATATCTCTTACCCCTCGGGTGAGAACTCGGTTCGAGTCACATACATTACTATGAATTAATTCAAGAGCTTCAGAGTTTCTAGTTATAGACTTGAAGGGTTTTTTAGTGTGTTTCCCTTGAACACAAATCTCACACTTAGATGAGGGGTCATGAGATGATTTAGGAATAAAGTTCAATTTAGTCATTCTCTGTAAAGTTTAAAAATTGACATGTCCAAATCGTCCATGCCAAACATCACAAAACTTAACAATTTGTGCAACAGAAGACTCGGAAATTTTATTAGAACTGGAATTGATTACATTAAGTTTGAAAAGACCATTATAAATAAAACATTTTCCTATGAATACATTATTCTTTGTAATCAAAAATTTATTGGATTCTTTTACAATCCTATAGCCAGCTCTAAGGAGAAGAGATTCACTAATAAGGTTCCGGTGGGGAGAGGGTACATGATAAACGCCTTGCAGATTTAGAGCTTTCCCAGAAGTCATGGTGAGCTCTATACGCCCATTTTTCATTATTTGTTTGATGGAGTCATCTGCTAAGCTTATGCTTCCTCTACGTGATTCCTGATAAGTTAAAAACCAAGAGCGATCATTGCAAACGTGAATATTAGCTTCGGAATCCAAATACCAATCAGTGAAAAAAGTAAGAAAGTTTACAAGATAAGAAGAAGAGGCTAACCTGAAAGAGTTTGGATTTTCTTCAATCATGTTAACTTTACTAGATCCATTTCCTTTTGGAGTATCTTTGGCTGGTTCTTTCTTCTGATAGAAGCAGTTATGAGTCAGATGGTTGGTTCTACTACAGACATAGCAGAACTTTCCATCAGACTTATAGCTGGAAGAGTTGGGATTTGATTTGGAAGAAGATTTGTTGAAAGATTGTTGGTTTTTCTTGAATTTCTTCCATTTGAGTTTGAAATTCCTAGATTTAGGCTTATCCTCTACCAAGTTCACTTTAGTTTTCATTTTAGCATTGGTTTTTGAATTTTTCCTATGTTGGTCTTCAATACGAATAGCCTTGAGGGTTTCAGTTAAGGTTAGATCTCCTTGCTTGTGTCAGAGATCTCTAACGAATCTAGACCAGAAGAGAGAGAGTTTATCAATCAAACAGGAAACTTTAAAGTCATTAATAAAGGAGTTTCCCTTTGATTGGAGGTGACGAAGGAAATTTTGGAATTCATGAATTTGTTCACTTATTAAGGAAGAGGAGGTGAAACGCATAATTCCGGCATCATCATAGTCATATTCTGCCTCAAGAGCATTTCATAAGTCTTTAGCACTTTTAAACTCATAATATATGTCATAAATGTTGTCCGTAAGTGCACTAAGAATCCTATGACAACAATGATAGGTTATTTTTTCTGGTTTTATATGATTAGAGAATGAACTAGCACCAGAAGCAGAAGGGGAAGGAGTGGGTTGTTCAGGATCGGGAGTCAAGGGTTGAGAACCACTAGAAGAAGAATCATGTGTTTATAGCAGATAACAGGCCTAGGATAGTGAGCCAGTAGCTCATCTGATTAGCCCACAGTTTGTAGTTAACACCGGTGAACTTCTCAGGTTTGACACTCTTTGAATGGTCGATGTTAACCATAAGTCCGATTTAAAGTTAACTAGTCTAGGTATTTGAAATCTGATAGAATAAAAGAGTTTTGTCGATACCACTCGACAAGTTACTTTGGAGATTATGATTTTAAAAGATGAGATTGATGCAAAATTATTTATGAGCCAGTAAAAGAAATGAACAAAGTATATAAATATGATTCTAAAACAATAGATAGTAAGAATAATTATTATTTTTTATTAATTTATAAACAGTAAAACAATAATTTTAAATAAACAGTAACAGAAAATCTGGATGAATAAACAGTAAGGTTTTACATTTTCGAATGAACAGTATTTCTGTGTAAATAGTGACTTTCCCGGGATGAACAGTAATAATAAAATTTTCCGGGTGGCCGGTAACTTTTTTAAAAATAAATAATTTTCTGAATTTAAAACAACAGCTATAAACTATTTAATCTTCTAGATTGTTAGATAAAACACGAAAAAGTAATGCTATAGTATGCAAGAAAATCCGAAATAAAAGAAATAAGAAAGTCTAGTCTGATCGAGAGCAGTCGTGTAAACACTACCCTAGAAGATTAAGGACTCGCATATCGCCCTGACGCAAATGATTCTCTCTCCCCTAGCAGTAAAAAACCCCGGAATCGACCGACCTCTGAACTTGGGCGAGAGTGCAGAGCTTCTGCTCAGACGAAGAACAATTGCCCAAAATAACACAAAATTATGGAGAAAAGAGAAAGAAGAGAGAATTGTTGTGTCTTCCGAGAATGAGAAGGGCTGCTTATATAGGGTGGAGAGACGTAACATCCGTTGAATGAACGGAGCTGTTACACACGTTTTCCAAAACGTGCTCATGAAATAGTTGTTACGGAGAAATCTCGACAGCCGTTACCCGCACGTTTCCCACATGAAAAACTTGTAAAAGAAGTCTAAAGAAATAAAAAGAACACGTGCGTCGCGGCGTGGCGAGGCGTGCACGCGGGCATGTGTGAGCCAAAGCCCAAACAATACAAGGCCCAAAACACTATTCAAAACCCAAGAGGAGGTGAAGCAATTTAAACCCCTTACTATTCATGATACTAGTCCATGTGAGACTATTCATGAAGGCGAAATTGCATTTTCTCCCACAATATAGCCAACAGGTTCGCGGGGTTTGCTAATGAGGTCAAACTTAAAATACTTGCTATGGGTTGATAGACATGCATGAAATTGAATTTTCTTTGTTCTGCAAAAGATGCTTTACATGCATCTAGATTGGGTACAGTTGTGTGAAATCGGTTATTGTATAATTTAATATTGAGTTATTGACTTTCATTTGAATTCTAGCGTATAGTTTGTTGTTGTTAATGACAGTGGCTTATAATAGGTGTTTTTATGTTAATATTAGGGGTGGGGTTGAATGTATAAAATTAGTTTTTTTTTGCTTTTTGTGTTTAATACAGACGACTTTAAGCTTAATGCAGATGACTTCAAGCTGACACATTCTTTTGGAGCCTATATAAGTGAAACTTAGGAGGTTATGAAATGTTTCTTTAACTTATAATACTTGTGACCCTTGCATGAATTTCAAAATTTTTTAGTTTGCTAGAAGGTTTCAACTTCCCTTAAATCACACGCACTTTGTGCTGATGCTTGCAATTGGGTTTTCTTCAGTTCACCAAAGAATCGGGTAACACGGTGGACGAGGTCAAACTGCGAGTCACATACGTGCCACCACCTCAGCCTCCATCTCCTGTTCCTGAGGGATCTGATGAGGGATCTTCACCTAGGGCTTCTGTATCCGATAATGGGACTATTGCTTCTCAAGAATTTGGCACTGTGAGTACTCGAGGCTTTTTGCTAGGATGATTGTTTTATTTTTTCTAATTTAGTTTTCTAAAAGGTGTTTCTTCTTGTTATAGACATCTAGAGCATTTGCTGAATCTAACGAAAAAGCTTCAGAGGTGAGTTTCCTTTTGACTTTTCACTTTACTTATATTTTAATTAACAGATAGCTGATGTAGTTAAGATGTTATCATTTGCTGGATCTTGAAACAAACCTTTCATTATGAACAAGAAATATTTTTATAATAGCAATATGTGTTAATCATAGGAGTGATTTAGATCATCATTATTGTCACTTGAGTTCTTGTCGTGTCAATGGCGGAGCCGTGAATTCATAATAGTGGTGTCACAATATATATAAAAAGATGATATTACTAATTTTTCTATCATATTCAATATAATTAGGAACTTTAATGAGATATAAAAGATATATTTAACTAAGTAGAATCACAATTGGCCCCTAAATATCTTCATGTTTTGAGATTGTTGCATTGCAGCCTCATTCGAAGTACCATATAATACATCAACAATAAAAGTTACAAAGTTGTCGTTCATCCACTAATCTCCCATTTGATTTCACAGACGATTCTTTACAATCTTCATTGCAGAAAACAATCTCTCCATGGAATCTATTGTAATGGGATATGAACACAACATTTCTTAAATATACCAATTGGATGCACAATATTTCTTTGATGGGCCATTATTCAATACTTAATTTTTTTATTGGTGTGACTATTTATTCATAAGTTAGTATATACTACTTTAATTTTTTGCTAGAGGGTGGTGTCAGTTGACGCCGGTGGTGTCAGTTGAGACCACCCTCTAACATGTACCTAACATGTACCTCCGCCCCTGGTCGCATAGCTGACATTTATCTATAGGATGAATACTAGGTGATTGGCATGATTTTTACTCTCTTATCCTCTCCTTGCCAGCCAAAGCAGCATGTCTATGTTACCTCCACTTCATAGGCAACCTCCATCCAGTTTCTTATATTGTTTTGTCCATAGATCTACAAATCAGATATGACTGGTGTGCCCAGCAGACAACTAGAGCTTGATATATACATAGTAAATCTCCGTTCAACATCTTGAAACGGTCCGAGCAATGTAGTTTATTAATTCTAGTTAATGCGAAATTCCCATTTTCTGTAGCTGGCAACAAAATGTATGCACTTTCACCAATTTTTCACTTGTCAGCAGTAACAGAGCATGGTAAATTTTATAATATATTGTGCAACTACTGAGGTGTTGCTTTTAAAGCAACAACTAACAGGAAAGAGAGATTATTATCACTCATGCTTTCAAAATGTGTACCTACTGAAGTACTTGAATCCCGTCTCCCACACACATGAAAACAAACTCCCATACCCTATTATGTTGGTGATTTTTTTTGATGGGATAGGTCCAGCCCTTGTTTTGTGTTGGTACCTACAGAAGTAATTGAAGCCCGTCTCCCACACACACAAAAACAAACTCCCACACCTATTATGTTGGTGATGGTTTCTAGAGGGATAGATCCAGTCCTTGTTTTGTGCCTCTTATATAAATGAACTTTTTGGTACCTGCTTACCTTTTCTATATAGTAATCTTTCTATGGTATTTGTAAGCTTTCCCCTTCAGTGCACTAGCTTGAATTGCATGTCCAGGAGCTGTTCCTACTACCAATTGAAGCAGCTATTGGTTAGCCATCCAGGTCTTATGTCATGGTTCTATTAATCACTTCACATAGTCTAGGAGTTTGGGTCGCTAATTCATAGTGTTCTTGGCAGCTTGATGGATTGTAGTAAAAACTAGTTCATATTTTCTTGGATCTTTTAAATTTTGTGTCATGCTTGCAGAAAGGATCAAGATTTTTTGCCTGAAATATAAGGGTTTTGCCTGTTTGGTGTTGGTTTTGGAGGGAAGTGATCCAAAACGAGGCATCATAATTTGTTTTGTTTGACATAAATTCAAGAAACTGTAGGAATCAAATGATTCCTGATGTAATAGAAAGTGAAACATAAGTAACTGCAAATTTTAACTAATGTTACCTTGAAATGAAAGAAAAATAAATGGGTTAGGAATATCTTTACTTCTATAACTGCAATAAGGAAAAATCATAGGATAAAACTGTGAGGGAAGGGCTGCTAAATTACCATCATTCCTCATCTCTACTTTCTTCATTTCTCCTTTGCAACCATGGATCCATGTTGCTTAACTTCTGCATATTCATAGTTAAATAGATTCAGGCTTTATAACCTGACCCAATATTATCTGCAAGTTCTACATACGTGAAACATGTGACATCCTGAGGGATCCTGAGTTTGCAAAATAAAATTGCAATATATGAAGTGAGTGGTGTTTGTATTATTTATGAAGCACATGCCTATGCACTAGCCATCTACTACTCTAAACATCATTTTATTTTCACTTTTTTAGATATTTTGCCCCAAATCATTCATTTTTAGAAAATTTTCCAAAATCATTATATTTAAAAATCAACCCTGAAATCATCGAAGATGTGAGATTTTTTGCCCTATCCGTTGTCTTTTGTTTGATTTGGAATGGTATAGGTCACTTTTCCAAAATATAGACTTGAGGGGTATATATCTTCTGTTTGATTTGGTTGGCAATTTCTTGAATGTGGAAAATTTGTGGGTATTGATACTTAAAAGAATTGTCATTTTGTTTATGCACTGGGAATGCTTTAGGTTAACAATTTGTATATATCTTCGAGGCATATTTACATTATTTTTTACTACATAAACCAAAATTGAGTTATATTACCCTGTTTCTCCAGGCAACGGCTTTAATTTCAAAGCTGACAGAGGAGAAGAATGCTGCAATTCAACAGAACAATAAGCTCCGGCAGGAACTGGTGAGTTTAACAACTTTGCAACACAGTTTCCAGTGCTATTGTTATTCAATAAGCCGAATCTTAGACCTAAGACATTCTGTAGAGTAACAATGCAGAACTATTTTGCAGATGCTTATGAAAGTTAGTTGATCTTGTTCATTCTTTGGAGGTCTTGAATGATATAGGATTGTTTTCTGATACTTTTAATCATAAGTTTTTCTTGATATCACTATTTTGTACTTTCAATTTCTAAGTTATCAATATTTGCTAATTAAACTAGTGGTCAGGTTTTTACTCTTAATGCTGGTGACAGGGTGGCTTTCACCACCCTCTATCTCTAATCTCCATCTCTGTGTAATTGTGAGTTTGATGGTGTGTTTGGGAGTTTACTAAGGGCCTGTTTGGATTTGTAAGGGGTGAAGGGAAGTTAAGGGAAACTGAGAGAAGGGAAGGGAAGGGAAGGGAAGGGAGTTCCCTTCCCCTTGGTTACACCCCAATTTGGGGGGTAACAAATTTTATACTATTAGGGGGTGAACCAAAGGGAACTAGGGTGAATTAACTTCACCTCCTAAGTGTTCCCAAACAAGATGAATGGAGGTGAATAGTGTTCCCAAACAAGATGAATGGAGGTGAATGGTTCCCCTAACTTCCCTTCACCCTCATTCCCCTCAAACCAAACAAGCCATAAGGGAAGGGAAGGAAAGGTAAACAACAGGAAGGGAAGGGAAGAGAATTGTAATATGTTGTTTGGGAGTTGAGTAAGGTGAATGAAGGTGAAAGGAAGTAAATATATGTAAATTTACATAAATGACTTTATACTAATAACACATCAGCCCTTTTATTTGTTTTGATGGGGTAAGAATGTCATTACACCCCTTTACCCTCCTTTACCCTCCTCTACCGCCCAAATCGAGGGGAAAGAAAACCAAGCAATTTTACCCTCCTTTCCCCTTCCTTCCTCCTCTCTACCCTCCTTAAAAAAACTCCCAAACAAGGTGAAAGCCTCATTTCTCTTCCCCTCCCCCTCTCTACCCTCCATCCAAACAGGGCATGAGTGTCTGTTCCAATGTTCCAAGCTGGTGGTACTATAAGATCAGAGTTGGTATTAGTCAGCATGTGTATGAGGTTGACCTCAATAGACTGATAAAGGAGTATCTTTTGGGTTGATTATATTTATTTTCCTAAAAATCTGACTCCAAAACTTGAGCTTCCATCTCGCCCCAATGAAATCAGGACAACACCCATAAAATCCCTCCAACATCAATAATATGACATATGAGTATACAATTGTGCAGACACACAAAATTAACTGGGCCATCAATTTATACCCACCTTGTCATAATTGCACCAATCTGTACCAGTCATCTATGTCGTGATCTTCATCACAAATCATTGTATGTTTTGACCTTGTAGGAGCATGTAAGTCTTGAATTAGTGCTGTTTAACATACTTAAAAATTATACCAACGTATCTCTTTACCCTGCATTGTGTTGATACATGACCAATTTGATGTCTACAAAATCATCTCTGCATGTTGATGGTGAATTCGAATTTTGGGCCTTTTGTTGACGCAGGTTTTGCAGTATTGAGACTACACATTAATTTTATGAGTATCATTTCACTTTCCCATGATAAAGCTCTAGATAATCCATCACGTTATGTTTCTTTAGGTTGTTCTGTGGTGTTGCAGCAACACCGCTTTCATCATTTAATGCCTTTTTGATGTCCCTACTTCCTATTGCTGCAGTTGGTTTTATAATAGTCAAAAGCCTACAGGTTGTAGCCAAAAGCTTCAAGCAGTTTTGTGGCGAAATTGACTGCAAAACCACTTTGACCACCTTATGTTAGACTGCTGCGTTGGCCACATTGCATCTGCAGCGAAATTGAATTTGCAGCATTGCTTACATTTACCAAACATACAACTTGCAAAAGCCACTTACCTTTAGAAGGAGTAAATGCACTTGGGTCATGTTTGGATTGGTTACTATTTTGAATTAATAACCCTTTATCCTTTAAAATAACATAGTGAAGTATTTGATTCAATTTTTCAGAGGGAATTAGGCTAGACTATTTAGTTCATTAAATTAAAATACTCCAGAAGATTCGGACTGCACTCAGGATTACATTCAAAAAGACAAGTTTGCCCTTTAAGTTTTCTAAAAGTTACATAGGTTCTCCTCTCTAATTATTTCTTTCACCGTGTCTACCAAATACAAAAAGAAATTGGAAGTCCAGAACTCGTCTGAAAAAAGAACACGGACACCCACGTTGAACATCTCCTGACTATTTAAACCATGGTTTGTAATTTATTCGTTCTTTAATAAATTTGTCACTCCAATGAAAGTTATGATGACTTGTACGGCTTTGCTTGAAATTGCGCTACCCTTCGCAAACATTTTTGTTAACATGAAATAGATCTGTTAAATTCTAAGTCATGAATACTTCGAAAAAAATCTAAGTCATGATTATTTTGATGAACTATTTGGCACGTCTATGGAAAAGTTTACAGCGCATGGATGTAAAAGTTATGATGAACTATTTGAAATTTATTAGTTCTTTAATAAATTTGTCACTCCAATAGAAGTTATGATAACTTATATATCTTTGCTTGAAATTGTATTACCCTTCACAAACAGTTTTGTTACCATGAAATAGATATGTTAAATAAATTCTAGTCATGAATACTTCTAAAATAAATTAAAAAAAAAAAATCTAAGTCATGATTATTTTGATGAACTATTTGGCACGTCTATGGAAAAATTTAGAGTGCATACATGTAGCAGCAAAATAAAAATATATCTGAGAGGCTAAACTTGAGTTTTTAATATAGGTTACAAGGAAATTTTGATATAATTGTTATGTGTGTATATGGATGTATAACAAGATTTTCTATTTCATATCATTTTTTTCTTTAGATTTCTTATCGTATCTCAAGAAAACTGTCAAAACTCAGGTCTTGTTTTTTGATGGTTGTAGTATTATCATTTATTTATTACTTTCTAATTACTGATTTATTATTTTCTTTTAACGGTTGATTCAATGTATATTGGGTTATGATATTGTTCGGTCAAGCTGTCTTGCATTGGGCCATGTGCAAAATGTCTCAAAACACTGTCATAATTGACTCGGACCTAGCTTAAATCATGGCGGGTAGGCAAAAGGGCATCATGGACATTTGTTGTTATAATTTAATCCAATGTCTCCTTATAATGACACGTTCCCAAACGTTACATAGGTATTAGAGGTGTTAATAACAAATTGAACCAAACACATTGTTAAAATTTGAACACATTGTTAAAATTTTAACTCACTATAGTCTAGAGTATTATTATATCTCAGGACTACAATGAGTTAAATTAGTCTCAGGATAAAACAAGTCCCTAATCCAAACATAGCCTTACAACTAATTGCTAGATAAGATATCCTCCTCGTATTGTTCCAGAGGAATATGAAACTTAGGTCGTAGATTTATTGTCTTCAGCACACATATGTGGAAAGGATAGCAAATAGATGATACGAGGTAAAAATTATCAAGATGACATGTGTGTGACATGGGATAGAAGATTTAACTGATACTATCCTATGCATTTTTACTCTCAATTTTAGGCTCTTGTTGATGCTCCCAAAAAATTATCAATTTAACTTGTAAAGAAATCATTGTTTCTTTCTCTCTCTGATATCTGAAGCATCTACTGTTTGACTTTTCTTCGTGTAGGAGCTTTTGAGAAAAGAGGTGGGTAAACAAGGCGGCGGTTTCTCATTCATGTTTGTGCTGATTGTTGCATTGATCGCCATCACTCTCGGTTATCTTGTGAAATCATAAAACTCTTCGCAGAACGTCCCTGAAGGTAACTGCCTCTTAAGGGGCAACATCGCAGACCCCTCAAAAAAAAAGTTTGACATTATTTTCTCAGTTAGAAGTGTGCCTTGGTGGTTTGTAGAACTCAGACTTGCTTCTGAAAGTTGATAGGGTCTTGTCCGTCGTCTGGTAATTGTGTAGGCGTGATTCCTTTTGAGTTGTAAGTTGTGCTTCTTGATGTGTGTCTTTGTTCAACTTCCCTTTCCTAGGTTTTGTCCCTGGTCTCTTGTTATGTAGCTTTGCAGAAGCAAGGCATTGACTTCTCGGATATCTATCTATTAACTTCTAATTCATTTTCAAGTGTGATTCAATTTTCACGCCATGTCATCCTCATTAAATTGGGAAATTAAACCACCGGCCAGATGGTTTCGATCCCTTTTTCGGCTGTTGTTTTCTTACAAAGAATTATAATTTTTTTTAATTATTATTCAAACTGTTTTACATAGGGAATGGTTTGACTAACAAAAGCGCAGATGAGTTCATCCAGATTCTTGTTTACGTTAGTTCATCTCTTTTTTTTTTGAGAATTTGTGGATGCCCACAATGTTCTCCGCTGGTAAAGTTATTTCAGAGGCAGATATAGCTTTGTTTTGAAATATATTATATTGTATTGCAAGAAGGAGACGAACCGAAAGTTTCACCATTAACATGTATATATTTCTAATTGTATGGCAAGAAAGAACCGAAAGTTTCACCATCTTCTACTTTTGACGCTGATCCAACTGAGGAGCCTTTTTTTTTAGGGGGTTATTGGTTGGGACAAATTGGGACCAAATGGAAAAATTGTTCCAATTGAACAATTTTATCCCGTTGGGGTATTTTGAGTGGGGTAAAGTGGGAGAATGAGATAATTTGAGCTTTTGATTTGACAATTTATGTTGGAGAATTGATGATGTGATACATTATTAAAATATAATTTTATCTATTAATTGCTTATAAATTAACTTATCCAGTTGGTTTAGTATATTATTATAATATAAATTTTATTTTATTTTATATTAAAATATAATATAGTGTACTATATATATTAATTAATATTATTAATTATATTAATTAATATATATTATTATATAATATTATTAATATATAACAATATATGTTATTAAAATATTAATATATTTTATTATATAATATTATTAATATATGTTATATAATATTAATATATGCACATAACTTTACTTTCAATATTATACAATGATAGGGCGACTTGCCCTATTTTTACCTCAAAAAAAAAAAAAATGCAATTGGTCATTTTTTTTTTCTTTCAAGCTACGTGCTTTCAAATCTAAGCATCCAAAGAGCAAACAATGAGACGTTCCACAAAGATCCAAAGAATCCGACACAGTGGTGGTGCCTCTCAACTGGAGGAAAATCTATATCCAAACTACATGATGAAATATATATCCCTTTCAATTTGAAGAAAGCCAAGGACCTTTTGGTTGGGGTCGGTCCAAGGAATGAGGATCGACCGATGCGTACAGGGTGAGAATAAAAACAGAGAGCATGAAGGATCGTAGAAGCTTCCCGCTCAACTGGGGGATCCACGCAGGGAGCCGGAGGAAGCTTCGTCATCCGCCATCTACCGAGCCGACGTCGACTCATAATTTGGGTAACACATCACTTACATGCTCATCATTAGCAGAACATACTAGAGGTGGTCCTAAGAGTAACTTCCACGTAAATACGTGGAATACAAATTTTATCCGATCACGTAGAGTGCGATGCTTTTGAACTATAGGAAGCCTCAAAGTCCCTATATATCACTGCACCGAAATTCTAAAGTTATAGTAAGAACCAATGGTTATAGTTTTATATTCTAACAGAGAGAACAGATTGAAACATTCTGCTAAAAGTTCTACTCACCACCGAAATGTGAAAGGTTGCGAGTGTTCCGATTGACTTGAAATTTTTTGTGGTCTTCTCAAGGGTTTAATGGAAGTTTAACGTATGGACTTAGTGCTAAACGAAGCGTTAACAAACATAATTAAGTTGGGTTGTCATATAGTACTCTAGAATTGGACATTAGGTTGTAACAAACATCAACCATCTAAGTTGAAAGCGTCTTTCATATGACCTAACAATAAGGAAACAAAATGCGGGATGATTAGTAGTATATCAGACGCCCAAAACTCAACCGTACACTCTCCCGTGTTTGATGGAAATAAAACACCATGATTATCCGAAATATGAAATCGTGTTTTATATGCTTGGAAAAAAAAAGTATTTAAATTGTTTTGAACAATATTATCCACATGCATGGAATTCTTAATAATTGTCTATCCTGATCATTTAAAGCACGTTGAATATTGAGTATTTTGGATATGCTTATCAAATATAAGGATGCACAGGGTATCATACATGTTGAATTCATGCGTTGGCGTATGAAATTTTCGTACGTGTATAGGACACGAGGTAGTGGTCTGCACGGTCCCCCGAATCTCTGTCCCCTTCAAAATTTTGACGCATCTCACTTGCGGTCCAAATTCAGGCGAATATTGATCGCTCATCACACGCCGAGAAAAAAAAGAGGCACTCAAAGATGTCATGATGATCATATGACCGTGCTAATTAAAAGAAGAAACTGATTTCTATTGAAGGCTTATTTGAGAGCGTAGGAAGTTGTTCCCAGTTTGATTAAAATTAATTAGTTCCAACAGAACTTGGATTTCAGTTTTCAAAGCTAATCCTACTCATGAATAGAGAAGGTTGCCGTGTTACCGTTAGGGGTGCTCAACCGTATCCGTATTCGAGGAAATATCCGTAATCGTATCCATTAGGATACGGATATGGTTACTCAGATCTATAACCGATAGGATATGGTTCCAGATATGGTTTTGTAGTGAAATAGCCGTATCCGTATCCGAAATATCCGAATACATATTAGTCATACTCTTACGATAGTTTCGATTCTTAGATTATACATATTAGTCATACTCTTACGATAGTTTCGATTCTTAGATTATGGATTTGTGGTTAATTTTGATGATTAAGATGTCAGTTTCGATTCTTAGATTATGGATTTGTGGTTAATTTTGATGATTAAGATGTCTAATCTTAACTTTTTAGTTATAATGGACATATTAACGAACTCTTTTGTATCACATGAACTATATTTTTCTCAATACTATCTAGTTTTCTCATATCTGTTTTGTATCCGTATGCATATCTGCTTATATATCTGTATGTATATCCGTAACCGTATCTGATTTTAGCGGATATGATTATAAGTTTTTCTTAGCGAAGTATACAGAGAGCATAGGAAGTTTAGAACAATCGTACTCATGAATAGAGAAGGTTAAGTTAGTTACCGTATATCAATCCTACTATTGAATTTTGCAAATAAGTCTAGAACAAATCATAATTAATGGACATAGATTCAAGGAAACTAGTATCCAAATAAGCCTTTACCAAATGAGAAAAAATATATATATATATATATATATATCAAAATTAAGCTAATTCTTACGAAGCCGTGGCTTAAAAAACTTTTTGTTTCTACGTAGTTTCTGTTTAATTTGCTGTGAGAAATTATTTAAAGCTCAAAGAACTTGATAACCTTGGACAGTGCTATTATTCTTTAAGCTCCTTTTATTGACTTATATTCTTTTTCTTTTTCTTTTCATCTAATCACTGTATGTATAAAGATTTGAACCTAATAATTAATTCCAATAAAGGGTTATGTTGATGCATTAATTTATGTAGTACGTCGGTTGACAATTATGGAATCAACAATCCACTGGCTTTTGTGAGCAAAGCCGGTGTTTGTGACTTGCAAAGCGACGGATAAGTGTGGGCCCCGCACGCGCGGAATGACGTTGAGCGGTTCCCAATCGAAAAGAGAACGGAGCGGCACTCAAAGTATAATTCCATTTGGGGCTGGGAATATTCCCCTTCGTATAATCGCCCCGCCAATGGTAGAACTTGGAGGGGCCAAAGTGAAAACTCTCTGTAGATTTAGGACTACGCCCTGATTTTGTCGTAATAATTACGACCCAGCCTTTTTTCAGAACCAAATTAATTCGCGTACTTTTGAGTGGTACTACTGGCACACCCTTCCACCACATCTTAGGGCATATCCCTCTCATAGCTACGGTGCACAGGGCCCACTTTAAATTTTAAAAAAAAATTTAAAGTGGGCCCCGTACACTGTAGCTGTGAGAGGGGTGTGCCTCAAGGTGTGGTGGAAGGGTGTGCCTATAATGTTATTTCGTACTTTTTTGCATCGATTATTTGGAAAACATATAGTCCTTCGATGAAGAATTTGGATGCTCCTTATTTTTATTTGCACAGTGAGTATATCAAAATTATCTTTGATTGTTGCTATAAAATATAAAACGATAAGCAAGCCTCTCCTCTCTTATTGTTCTGTTACTTCTTCTCAGTATCCGATTCAAAGCGGATTTTTTAAAATAATGGCATCGATGTATGAGTCTAAGTTTCAAACCATTAAAAAAACGCCCAATCCGTAATAACATGTTAGAGCATAAAACTATAACCCTCTCAAATTGTGGTGATAGTTTTTCAATTATATACATTGATGTTCGAGAAGGTGGACTATATTAACTAAGCAATTAATTAAACTAATAAGTCTGTTCATAAACTTTATAGATGCAGGACAAACGCATACCAGTAGGGTGATTACGTGCAATCCACCATTTAAATAACTAAACGCATTTTTTATTATTAATTGGAGCATTGAAATTGGAAGGCATTGCTTTCTACAATCGACAAATCAGTATGAAAATAAAAGCTTATCTGATGCAAGTCAGGCCTCTAATTAATGAGCAAAGCTTGTGCAGTATGAAAATAAAAGCTTATCTGATGCAAGTCAGGCCTCTAATTAATGAGCAAAGCTTGTGGATGAAACCCTTGTTATTGTTAACATCATCCTTCACAAGTCAGGCCTCTAATTAATGAGCAAAGCTTGTGGATGAAACCCTTGTTATTGTTAACATCATCCTTCACTGTGTCAATTAGTTAATGTGAATTGGATTTAGTGACAATCTACTGGTATGAACAGACTTATTAGTTTAATTATATGCTTAGTTTATGAACAGACTTATTAGTTTATTTTCATGCTGATTTGTCCATAGTAGAAAGCAATGCCTTCCAATTTCAATGCTCCAATTAATAAAAAAAATGCGTTTAGTTATTTAAATGGTGGATTGCACGTAATCACCCTTTTACCAGCACACCAAACCCTTTTATGTGCCTCTTTATTGGCTTGTGGTTATGGTAGTCACAACAACAAGAAGTGCTTTATTATGTGTACGAAAATTCGTAATTCTACTTAAAAATGCTTGTGACTTAACAGTGTGTTTGGAAAATGACTTAGGGAAAAGAAAGGAAGGAAAAGGAAGGAGAAAAGCTCTTCCCCTTCATTACACCCCAATTGGGGTGTAAGATTTTGGCTCAAAATTTCCCCTCATTACACTCCTCTACCCTCTTAAATGGAACTCCGAAACACCCCCCCCCCCCTCTCTACCCTCCATCCAAACAGGCCATAAGTGATCTGCCCTTTATTTCTATTTTTCTGCCTTTTTCGTTACGTTACTTTTAAATATGGAAATAAATACTATTCATAGAAAAGGTCACTCCCGTCTAAAATGTTTTTTCTTTCTCTAAAATTAATATGATCGCGATTATGTTAAAGTGATCTCTTCACTGTTAAAAAAACCATAGAAAAAATTATTGCAAAAATAAAAAGTAGGAGCCTAAAAGACATAAAACTCATAACAAAATTAAGCTCTGTATCTGAGAAAATTAGTTCAATTCCTTAAAACAATTGCATGAGATTTTTTGGTGTTTGGACAGTGGACTTTTGTGAGGAACTGACACATGGGGTAACGTACCAAAAGAAACGCTACAATTGTTTGATCACATACATAAATAAATACAGCCTCATATACATCCAGTTATTATGAAATTTAGGTGCAAAATCAAGGGTATTGATGTAATTTAGGCATTATTTTCTGGGATATATAAACTCCAGCACCTTGCTATTCTGAAAACTCAAGCATCTCTCATCTTTTCTTCTCAATAGAGTTTGAAGCTCTGAACCCAAATACAACAACATTAAAGATTTCAGATCAGATCAGAGAGAAATCAGAGAGTGAAAGGGACTTAAAAAAAAGGGAAGGGAAGAGAAGAGAAGCCATTAATTCTACGAACACCTCATCTTAGGTAATGACACGTGTACCTTCAGCTTTAATGCAGCAATTGTATTTTATTTATTCTTTCTAAATCGTTCTTTTCCTCTTCATATTTGTCCTATGCCCAGATTCATTCTAAATTTTATTGACATTATATGTTTTTAGGGCGATTAATCAACAAAACTTACATTTGGCTCTGTTTATTTTGATTGTCATTTTATTCAGAGTGAGCTGATTTCAGTTGTGGGGTTCGATTTTGGCGAGGGCTAAAATGTTATCAAAATTTGATCTTTTACAAGATTTTGTGGGTTTTGGAGAGAAAGATTTTGTGGGTTTTGGAGAGCAGGTTGGTAAATTTAAAAAGTAATTCCATTTACTTATGTTTGTTCCTTCAACGGGGGTATGATTTTGACAAAATTAGTGTTCATGTTTGGTGTCTGAATCCAACAGGTGAATCATAATTTTAAATCCCCATCGCAGTTTTCTCAGAAGTTTCAATTCTTGCGAAAGAATTCTTAGCTTGTGCTCTAAGATATAATTGTTCAGACTTCCGAATGGTTGGAATATAGTGCTTGATGATAACCCTTTTATTTGATACTGTGATACCTTTTTCGGGCTCTTTGTGTATTTTAAATTCTTAATTCGTAAACTTTACTTTGTCCTTTAGAAACCACTGGAAGATGAAATCCTTGGGGACGTTTGAGTGATGAAATATTAAATGAAGTTTTGAATTATACATGTCCTATTTCCCCCAAATATAGTGGAAGAAGATATCCAGTGCTAGTCTTAATGAGTTTTCTTCATGCATTCAATATCAATGATCACAAGTGTATAGTCTAACTTTTCTTCATGTTCTCTAGATGAAACTTCTCTTTCACTAGCACAAAGAATGGCTCATCCTAATATATCTCCATCAAGCGAATTAAGAACAGAAGCAAAAAGTAGTAAACCCCTCGGCATCAGATTCTTGGAGAACGCCAAGAACGCCGTTCTCTCCTTCAGAACTTATCAAACCATAGTGTTGATTTTGACATTTATCGCCTATTCTACTTACCATGTTACAAGGAAAACCACAAGCATTGTTAAGACTGTATTTGACCCTGAACAACCACAACAGTTAGTATTCTCTCCGTGGTCAAATTCTTATCTTCATACAACCACTAAAGATGGTTGGGCTCCATTCAATACTCGAGATGGTACCGCAATGCTTGGGATGATCGATGTCGCCTTTCTTGCTGTCTACTCCTTTGGCATGTACCTTGCTGGCCACTTAGGTGATCGTTTAGACCTTCGAGTGGTCCTCACAGTAGGAATGATTGGGACTGGAGTATTCACTTCTTTATTTGGTATTGGTTATTGGCTCAATATCCACAATTTCTACTACTATTTGGTAATTCAAATGCTAGCTGGTTTGTTTCAGTCTTCGGGTTGGCCCTCAGTTGTTGCAGTTATGGGCAACTGGCTCGGGAAAAGAAAAAGAGGGTTGATTATGGGAATTTGGAATGCACACACTTCAGTTGGAAATATTTCAGGCTCCTTGATTGCTTCGTTTATGTTGAGATTCGGATGGGGTTGGTCTTTTGCAGTCCCGGGAATTCTCATTGTGTTTGTTGCAGTAGTTGTTTTTCTTCTGCTGCCTGTGAGTCCTGAAATCGTTGGGGTTGGAGAAGAGGAGGTGAGTGTTGGTAAGGAGAAAAGAGAGAGTACGAAGCCGTTATTGGAATCAAGAGAAGAGGTTAGAGAGAGAGCAGTTGGATTCATTGAGGCATGGAGGATTCCAGGGGTTGCGCCATTTGCTTTGTGCCTATTTTTCTCGAAATTGGTGGCTTATACATTCCTCTATTGGTTGCCTTTCTATATTAGCCACACAGGTAAAATATTCTTTTGCCTCTCGTGTGCTCGTTTAGTTTTAATTTGTAGACTATTACTTGGTAATAGGGTAGTTTGATAATTGATACTTCAATCTGAATTACTTCCAAGAACCGTGATTGTACAATTTAGTGGATAAAAATAGCATTCGTAGAGTCACAATTGCAGGGCCACTTAGGTGTAGAACATAAGTTTGCCTTAGGTAAAGTTGTGATATATTATGTATCAGGATATTTTTCCGTCCAAATTTCATTTATCGCTATGAACTTTCACCATCTTCACACATGAATCATTCCATTTATATGAATTCCCTGATCACGTGACTTTTTTATCCTTAATTTGATCCTGTCATATGTGCATGGCCTGCATTCTCATAAATTTAAAATTTTTATATTAGGCTATTTACAGAAAAACTGTGGAAAGATCACAGTAGATTACTGCATTTCAAGAAGTTGATGTTTGTTTAATATGAACTGGTGAAAGTTCATGATAGTTTAATGAAGTTAAAACTCTGGGGTGACAATTTTCGCTGTAACAAGATAGGTGTTCTAGGGGAATTGAGATGTCTATGTTGGAAGAACTTCGGCTGTATGATTCTTTGCTTCTAGGGGGAAGTATCAATTCTTTCATTGATCTAGAAGTTACTGTAAATTGACACCTACTAGAAATTTTAAAGTAAGAGGAAGCATGCCATTTTAAACTAAAAAAACTTCAAAATAAATCCATAACTTGTCAACAAAGATGAAATTCAAGGAAATCTCGTTGAAAGTGACTAAATTACAGGTTGTTATGCTTCACTGTCCCTATTTTCACTTTTCCTTCTCTATTCACTATCAGCTTAACCATCTTTAAACTCCAAAGTTTTTCCTCTCTTGAGCAGAAACCTGTTCATTATTCCCTTTCCGTCAAAGCTTGCTCATCCATCTTCTTCCCTTTCCTAATTATTCTCAGTTTCTTGTCAAAAGGTCACGTAGGTAATGAGGACCTGTGTCTCATTTGGTTGGCCAAATGAACCAAAAGAGGTTACTATTTACATAACAATCTTCATCATGGTTTGAAGGTTCCTATTGTTTTCACTCCTATTTTTAGAATCTTCTACCTTTTTTTTCCTCTTCAAATCGAAACTTCAGCACTACTTTTGTTCACACTAGCATATATTGCAGAGAATACCTCTGAATCAATGAACCTCACCTTATACGCATATGAAGTACATAATCAAATTTATTCATGACAAACCAATGAAAGAGCATATTGTAGAACTTAACAAGAAAAAGGCAGATATCAGTAATCCTCATGTTCTATTACAACAACAATAAAACCTGTAACCCATAATTTTAGGTTGGCTACATGTTTTATATTCTTTCATTCAGATCTGTTAAAAGGTTGCCTCCATTAAATTAATTGTTCTGGAATTAATTTCTTCTACCATGTTATAGCACAAAATCACATCTTCATGTTCTTGATCCTCTCAGCTATCGACAACCAATACCTATCCGATTCAACAGCAGGCACCCTCTCAACCCTCTTCGACGCCGGTGGCGTCGTCGGTGGAATCCTCGCGGCCACATCTCTGATCGCCTTGACGCCCGTGCAAATCACCGCCGCGAGCTTCACCTACTGCGCCATCCCCGCCCTCTTCCTCTACCGCATCTACGGGGACGTCTCCCTTTCTTGGAACATCGTCCTCATGTTCATCGCCGGCATGTTCGTCAATGGGCCCTACGCCCTCATCACCACCGCCGTCTCCACTGATCTTGGGAGCCACGGGGACTCTCGTGCCTTGGCGACGGTGACGGCAATCATTGATGGTACAGGGTCGGTTGGGGCGGCGGTGGGGCCCTTGCTCACAGTGGTATATATCAGTGGAGAGTATGGGATGGGGTGTTTATGATGTTGATGGCGGCGGCGTGGCGGGGTTGTTGTTGACTCGACTCGTGGTGGCTGAGGTGGCAGCTAAGATACGTGCACGTGCGCGTGCACAGGGTGATGGTTTGAGTGCAGAAGGGCAAGTATGAGTATTGGGATGTTGGATGTAGGCTTGAAGTTGTTGATAGAAAATACAGAGAGATTGGGAATTGGTGGAGAGAATCGGCAGGGGAAATTGATAATGCTGTTGAATTTCTCCAGATTTTTATGTTTTGGAGGAAATGGGGTTTGAGGTATGTTGTAGATATAGTTGATGATTGGTAGAACTTGTAATGTACTATTATAGGCATTCAAGGTTTGTAAGTTAAGATACATGCAGAAATCATATGGATTATTGATGATGAGAAAGGAGATGTTTTTTCTCCAACACTACTGGTGTTTCCTTATGTACGTGAGCCTTCACTAAGTGGGAAGTCTCTTGTCAAATAATGGATGATGTCTTTCACGCTGGTACCCTTTCATGAGGTTTTAATTTTCTGTTTGCAGCAGTTTATGCAAACCCAACAGTACATAAGCCTTCAAATCTAAGACTACCACACTTTATGAAAAAGCAGAACACTTCTATGTTAAGAAAATTCTCAGATGTGCAGCACAATAAGTTGTGAAGACAATAGAATGATTCCAAGGGTGAAGAAGATTATATATTATTCTATGCTAAAGAAAGAAGTACAAGCTTGTTATACAAATTATACATTATGCTACTAGTAAGTTAATTCCTGTAACAGCATATCTGCTGTTATCGCCAAGTTGACCAAAAAAACTTTGAACTGGTAGAATTCCCCAGAAGAGAGGGGGGAAAAGGAAGAATAAGAAGAAGAAAAACATATTTTCTTACAAGAATGGGGGAAAAAATTATGAGAGAAATGTAACTTGAGTGATCCAGCAATGCGAGTGTTCAGCCTAAAGGAGCGCTCTGCAACTTCTTTGTGTCTCAATCTTTACTATCTTCTTCTTTCTGTTGTTCCTTCTTTACAGTTGGTTGTTGATGCAGCAACAAACTGAATGTTTGTATGAACACATCCTCGACTTCATCATTTGAACTCAGACTCCAAAGAGTGGCAATGCAATCTTTATGAAGGAGTATGCAAGTGCACCAGTGAACACATAGCTATCGACTCTATCAAGTATCCCCCCTGCGCATTGATATTCATCACATAAGTGAAATAATTCTGAATGACTCGACTAAGATGGGACAAGGATAATTTAAAGAAAAAACAAACAAACAGAGAAGCTAATTTAAAGATAAAACAAATATACTGAGAAGCAGCAAGCATGCATCCCGGTTATTAAAGAACAAATTCCTGGTTTACCAAAGGTTAAAGATAATAATGCAAGATACTTACTTTCGCCAAGTATTGCTGCATATGGATCACAGACATATAGGCTTCGCAAAGGGCCTCACAACATGGTTACGGTAGAGCATCCAACATTGAACCAAAAAAATGTAACAGTAGAAACATTTTCAGCATGTGGAGTGATATACTGGCAATAGCTGACTATCTCAGCCGTCAGTAGATACTATATTAAAGTAGTGCTACAGAACCAGAAGTAATCTCTGATAAAAAGCTGTTGAACACTCACAACAGTCTGCTTGTGTTAGAGGTTGGTATCAAGGTGCTAAATTAGTTCTCATGACATAAATTAGCTCTCTAGAAAGATTGATGTTATAGACAGCAGCACTTCTCTTGCAAATATCTAAGTTTCAACATCGAATTACATCAAAATTTAGTACTGATCTGCACTTGGAAAGAATCAAAATGACGCGAACAAGAATGCTTAGTTGCTAGATGACTAACAAAATCAGCACCAGATATATACGACAAAGTATAGATACCTAAATAATAGTTCCCATCTCAATTTCCTTCAGATGATATAGAATCCAAAATTTTAGCATAAGCAAAAGAATGGATTACGCGTGCCTGATATATGTTCCTATTGTGGATGACATAGCACACACATATATATAAGAAATTTAGAAGTAGACACATGAGGGTCTCTGTCTCCAAAAAACAAGGGTCCAAAATCCAAATTAGACTTTTCAATCATTGATAAACTAATTAATTAGGTGATATGCCCGTAGCCTCAGTCAATGCTCAAGAACGATTTATTATATTAATATTTTACCAGGAAAAAGAATTACCATGCCCTGGAATGAGAGATCCAGAATCTTTGACACCAGCATCTCGTTTGATCATTGATTCAATAAGATCCCCAAATAGAGATCCCACGAAGTTGAGAATTCCAAAAGCTGAAGCACTGAACCAATAAGAACAGTATAAGTTAAGATGGCAGCAAACTGAGAAATGGCATTCCACTACATTTGTGATTTTATGACCATAATTAGATATATGTTTATTTGCACACAGGTGTGTTTTGGGAAACAAAATAAAAAAGCGCATAGCTGCAAGCATGTTTGGGAACTACGGATTATAGTCCACTTGACTTATAATCCACAAAAAGCTTGTAAACGAGGTGGATTATTCCGAAGTGTTTAGTAAATTTAGTAGAGGCACGTAAGTGGCTTATAATCCATTCTTGCAGTCAAAATGACTAAAAAGGACATGACTCAAATGGAGTTGGAGATAGAGAAATAGGCGTTGGAATTTTCTTAAAAGATAAGGGGCAAACTAGTCTTTTACTCAGTCCGGGGCTTCTTCCTATACCTATGAATCCCATTGAACCCAGAAATGAGACATTGGAAGAATCTTTTTGGTCTTCCAATATCAATAGATTAATTGTTTCGCTCCTATATCTTCCAAAAAGGAAAACGATTTCTGAGAGTTGTTCCATGAATCCGCAAGAGAGTACTTGGGTTCTCCCAATAAATTAAAAGTGTATCATCCCTGAAACGAATCGGAGTTCACGGTGGTGGAGGAACCAGATCAGAAAAAGAGGGATTCTAGTTGTAAGATAGCTAATGAAATCATAGCTGGAATTGAGATCTCATTCAAAGAGAAAGATAGCAAATATCTGAGTTTTATTTTTTTATCCTATAGGGATGATCCGATCAGCAAGAATTATGATTGGAAATTTTTTGATCGTCTTTTTCCGAGGAAGAAGCGAAACATAATCAACTTGAATTCGGTCCAACTATTCGAAATCTTAGGGAAAACTTGATTTGTTATCTCATGTCTGCTTTTCGCTTATATGCTAAAATAAGTTGTTTGTCAAACATGTCCTAGAGGCTTATAAGCCACTTTGACCAGTTGCCAAACATGAAATAAAGCAGAAGATAAGCATATTATGTTCAGTGGATGCCTCCTTTTTGGCATCTTTAGCATGTAAAATTATTCCCTTTAAGTAATCTAATAAAAATGCTATGCAATATGCATCACTTTAAATGAAAGCATGGGTGCATGTTTGTTACTAATGATTAGTTAAAACATAAGATTATAATTTATTAAAATGAAATTGAGCCAAATTTGGAAGGCTTAAAAGCTTTCACTACAAGACCATGCTATAAATGATATACATCTTATCTGAATAAAAGACAGCTTTTGAGGGAAAAAAAACTAAATTCATGTCCCCTCCAATGTGCAAATGCCAATAACTAAACCATGCATCTGCAAACATGCATAAATATCCACATATCTGCCGGGATATATCCATCACAAATGTACGTGCAACAGATACATGCATATGTCATGTGCATGACACATATGTACGTATATGATTATGTCTATGCTTATATGCATGTTGGTATGTATAGAGGGGGATAGTGAATATGAGTTACGACGTCATTTGCGCAAATGGGCTACCAAGAGGTATGAGTGGTGAAGTTCACATTTCCGATGTGACAAGCATAGTAGGCCTCACCATTATCATGTCTTGTTTCCACACACTGCAAATAAGTAGCCACTTCATAAGCTCATACCTGTTTTCCAGACCATACACATTCACACACGCGATGCGAACGCACATATATATTGTCAATTTGGTTTATGTATCCTGTAAGGCTATACTTGTAGCAAGTAGCCAAGCCCATGAAAATCTCAAATAATGCCCAGAAATTGTCTTTTCAAACAGAGTTAATCAATGCAGTATAAGCCCTTTCACACCAAGAAATAACCAAATACTTTGGAACACAAATAAGTAAAATAGCTACACAAAATTTGAAAGATAAAAAGAGAGCAACCAGTTATAGGAAAGAAAAGTAGGGAAGAAGAGAACTTTATCCAAGTATCTCATCAAAGAACTCCAGCTCTGTTCAATCCCAACCTTGCACTTCTAAGTTGGTTGTAGGAAATATAATTAGATAATAATTATTTAGAAACAAGATGCAAGCTAGATCACAATCATTATGTTATCCAAACCTAAGTGACAACATTACAATAGTATTGCAAGAAAAGTCTATTGGTTGATTCCTAAGTAGGTACCTCAATAAAGATGTTGGCCAGCTAAAAAACTTAGAAAGAATAACAGCAATAGCTATGCACCCGCTCAGACCAGCAAAAGCTCCTTCCAAAGTCTTCTTTGGACTGATAGCTATAAGAGGAGTACGACCAAATGCCTATAAAGTATTAGAAGGAAACTCTTGTCAAAAAATGATCCACACACGAAAATTGGTCATTGCATCTTATCAGCATAAATAAAAAATTTCCGGATTTTGGAGCAAAGAGATCTTAATTCTCATCTAGTAATATGTATGCCAATCCCATCATATATACAAGAAACATCCAACATCTGATTAACAGCATAACAAAGAATAGGTTTTCGAACAAGGATACTCATTAGAGGTTAAGAGATAGCTTCCATAAGGATAACATGAGGAGGAACAACAAACAAGGTTTGGAAATTGAATCGACCCGTAATCACACAGGATAAAGGAGTGATAGGATCACAGCTAATTAGATGAGGGACAAGGAGTCAGATGTGGTCTAAGCAAACAAAAATAGGGGCAGACAGCATATTGAAAAAGGATGTATGGCAAATAATTTAGCCAACCCAAAATTTTATTGCTGGACTAGCAAATATGATGTCTAGATTACTGGACAAGTTGGGATCAGGCAAACGGTGATGATATCTGTTTTATAAGAAATTTTTAGGAACTACATTGCCATATTAATAGGTAAAAATAAGATACATAGTGGAACAACACTTGTTTGGAGTGATTTAATTGAAAAACCATCATCTCATCCGGCCAGTAACAAAAGATGTGAACAGATGGATGCTTAGGGCAAACCTGACTGAATCGAGCTTATAGCACCATCAATGACATATGCTTCTTTCAGATGTACTCATTAATTGAGAATTGAAGGAAGCGGATTGCAATTCACCCAATCATTAGTTAACAACAGATGACCTGGTAGAAGAAACTCGACTTAACTATGTTGAGGATTATGTTAACATAGACTTAAGCTGATCTAGAATACTGGTCAACTTTTCACCTTATGATGGTCTCATATCTTAGCTGATTCAAATATCTTGTTAACAATTTCACAGTAATCCCACAGTACATTAACTCGGACAAGCAAAATCTTCCATGAGAAAGCACCAGAAATCTAGACACTAAAAAGAGTAGAATGATATATATAGGTGAAACTTCAGTTCCACTGGAAACAGCTAAGTACTGCTCAATATATGCTAAGATTCCCCTCAACACAACATAAGGAAAAACTAAATAACAACCTGATTGTAAGTGGAAAGACATGAGCAACAATTTCCATTTACTGGTACTTTTACTTCTCTAAGAGATTCTCCAACCTGGAGATGTTACATGCCTGTCTTTAAAAGTTATTTCGAACTAACACCAACTTACAACTAAAAATAGGGTTCCCAGCCCCATTTTTGGCTATGGAAATAGCAAAGTACCAGTTGCCTGATGTGTGCATGTCAATGTTTAAATTCCAATCTGACATGAGGAAGGCTTGTCTAATTCCAGCAAAGATAGCTATAAATTGCTTCAGAAGCTAAATAAAGATGGAAAGAAAAGAAATGAATCTTTCTGATGAATAGATCTAGATGTAGTGTACATGTTTGTTTATTTTACTGAATAAAAATCAGCTTCATTTACCTACTTGATTTTTGACTACTTTTGCTTTTACTCAAGTGTATAACCCTATCTAAAAATCAGCTTCATTTACCTACTTGATTTTTGACTACTTTTGCTTTTACTCAAGTGTATAACCCTATCATAATTATCAAGATCCAAATCATTGTTCAATTTGACTACTTTTGCTTTTACTCAAGTGTATAACCCTATCATAATTATCAAGATCCAAATCATTGTTCAACTAAGTAGGCCTGGATATCTCACACGTGGATCCATGAAAAGATATACCAAATTCTATGACTCGTTGCATTCTAGGGATTTACCTTTTGACCAGAAGTAAATTTGCAAGCTGAAGGATAGAAGACGAGTTAATGGGTAGGAAATGTTACCATGTCGTTATTGGTCAAACAACTTATATAAACCTATAAAGATTCTATCAGGCCTCAAACCCAACCCTGGAGTAGGCCACCAATCACAACAGTTAGACTCGGTTCTAAATTAAGAAGAAGTTCAGATGAAGAAACAACAATATTTCTACCAGGAATCACATTAAACTTTTAAGGAATTAAATGGGCCAAAGAATGCATCTAACGAAGTAGGACACATTAACAACAAAAAGTGAGAAAAAAACCAGGATAAAAAAAAGATAAATGGTATAATCTCATACTGGATTGTTATATTATGGAGTAAATACTACGTTCAGTTTTTTCAACAACAAAAGGTTATGTGGTACCGTTAATTCTAGTCAGAGAAAAATAAGAAATATACCCTTCCACCTAGAAAAGCAAATGTATCTGCCGCGATTATGCTACTAATGGACATCAAGGTTGCTACTAGGCCAACCGTCCAATGAGCCTGTCCACCAAGAAAAATCGGCCATGTATTCCCTAATTCTGCCAAAAAGTATCATACAGTGTTAATTAAAGACAAAATCTTGATGTTAAATGAGTACATTAGATTTAAGAATGATAAGATCAATAAAGCAGCATGAACATTCAAAAATGAATTAGATAGGAAAAGTCTAAAACTTCTAAACATATATGTTGAAAAGAAATCATGCAATGGGCTTAGAAGACCAAAAAATATCAATCTCCCAATTTGAAAATAAAATTCTCAACCACCTCATATACCCAAGATGAATTGGATTTAAGGGACAAGATAGAAGAAAATGCATGCAAGATTCTACTCTCAATAATTAGTAGAATGCAAGAGAAAGGAACAGAATACATGCCAAAGTTCAGACTTTCTGCATAGATTACCATCTCAATAATATGACAATTCAGTAAAGTAAAAGAAAACACTCTCTCAATATATTTTGAACAGTTAGTAAAATAAGAATGAAAATTGTGGATGAAAGCCATAGTTTTTAACAGTCAAGCATTTTAGGTTACCCAGACACTTCATCTTGGCTCCTGTGTCCGTTTTCGTGTCCGTGTTGGATACTCCTTGGACACTTCTTGAGCATATACATACATTTATGCAGACACGTGCCCCATTATACAATGCATGTTTTAGTTTAAAACACTCGTGGTACACTTCTTGGACGTATATCTTACACTTCACATCAAATTTCTGCAACTTGTTGGAATCGGATCGGGTTCATTTCAGTCGATATCATGTTCATAAATGATGATTTGGATATCTAGTCCAAAAATGAGCAGTTTTTCAATTAATAATCTACACAATAAAAGAAACATAAATAAGTTATATGGACTTTAGTTCTCATAATATGTAATAAAAAATAATATCGACCTCATATATATTATTAATTTCAATAATTATATATATTCGTGTCCCTGTATCCTACATTTTAAAAATTTGTCGTGTCCCGTATCTGTGTCTGTGTCTGCACCCGCACCAGTACCTGTGAAACATAGCTCAAGATCTATTACAGGCAACTATGGTTTCTTCATCTTTTCGAGACATCTTAACAGTTTTAATACTGTTTTCTTATGCTTCCCTTTCCAACCAGTGATTTACAACATAACATATAATATAAAATATTAAAATAATATACTTCACAAATTTGAATCTTTAATTTAACAATAATATGGTTTTTGTGTGGATGAACTTCTTCATGGATTTTTTATTTTAGAGTTAAAAATAGTTGCATAAATAAACCTAAAGGTGATCCGAGGGGCTAAGCTTTCTTATAATTGTGCTGTGTGTAGCTTAACATGCTTATTTATGTACATGTAGACACTAATCAGAGATTTTACATGCAAGTCTAATGCAAATGCAAGAAATGTCTAAATGATAGCAGATTTGGCATTCTAATGAATCTTTTAAAATAAATTTATGCTGGACTTTTACATATGTGTATGCTCGTACTTCTATATATAAGCATGTACTAGAAAGGCACACTTAAAACTAGGACAAATTTTGAAAATCGACCTTTTCTCAAATTTAATAGGCAAAACCGACCTTCTAACAAAATATTTGGCAAAAACGACCTTTTTTTGCACGGGACTGCTAGTCCCGTGCAAAAAAAGGTCGTTTTTCCAAACAACTCACACGTCCCCCCCTCCCCTCCCCTCTCCCTCTCCCTCTCCCTCTCCCTCAGCTCCTTCTCCTCATCTCTCTCATCAACCGCCAAGCTCACCAGACCCGCGTCGCCACCTCCTCCGACGGCCTCACCTTCTCAATCGCCCCGAGCTCCGCCACGAGCCCCTCCGCACCGCCCAACCTCCTCTAGCCCTCTCCCTCGTCTCCTCCTCAGCACCACCAGCACCAGCTCCGCACGCCATCAGCCTTGCCTCCCCCTTCACCGCGCCTCTTCGAGCTCCACCTCAGCTCGGATCCCCCACCCCAAGCCGTCGCGCCACCAGCAACGAGTGAGTGGATTTGGAAAATCGACCTTTTTTTGCACGGGACTAGCAGTCCCGTGCAAAAAAAGGTCGATTTTCCCAAATATTTTGTTAGACGGTCGGTTTTGCCTATTAAATTTGAGAAAAGGTCGATTTTCAAAATTTGTCCTTAAAACTATGTTCTGTGAGCATATACTTTTTTCCACATGAAATAATCACATAACTATTGCAATCTTGGTACTATAAAAAAATAAGCATGTGAAACTAAATCTATCATAAGAGAAATTCATACATATCTACACGTATAACGACTTGATTAAACAGTTTTCCTTAAATTTTGGAAGAAGATTTAACTATTTTCTAACTGCTAGACGTTGAGATGAAAATCCTTGAATAGATTTTAGATTTCACTATATACATTGGAGATATGCTAGAATTTTTTAGGAATGATCTGTTGTGTAGATTAAACTCTTACTGTTTTGAAGTGTTTTCAGTGGAACTGAGTTTTATTTTTGTTAGGGTCATAGTGGCCTGAAATTTATCTTTATTAGAGTTGTAGACTTGGAGTTGATTAGGAAGTGATTCTTTTCATATATATAGCATAAAATATCTATACTCTATAAAAAGAGGATTAGAATGTTAAAATTTTTAATTTCCTTTTTAGCCCTCTCAAATTTTAATAAATTCTAACTATGCCATTATCTCTAATTAATCTTTCATTAAATAAATATAGCCTCTTATTAATTATGCACCTCCTCACCTTCCTAAATAATTATAATTATCAATAATATTATAACTATTAATTGTCTAAAAATAATAAAGTAAAATAATTTATAAAATAAGCATACACAATTATTAGTAGTAAAATTATTATAATAATTATTTATGAATTATAATAAAATAATAGTATAAATAGAATAATATATTACTAAATACTATTAAGAATGAGCAAAAAATAAATAGAATAAATTTTGAATGGCATAAATAGTGTAATTATTTTTATAATATCACATAAATTATGAATTACACTATTTATTTAGTATTATATTATAAAAAATTTAAATAAATAATTTAATATTATTTTTAGAGTATTTTCTCAAAGATTATTACATGGTACTGAATAATCTACACTTGGTAATGATTGAAACTAACCTTTTTTAAAAAATTATTTAATATTAATAATAGTACTATTAATTGTTAATGATAGTATAATAAAAATTTATAAAATATTTATAGTGCTAAATCTTAAGAGCATAATTTAAAATTTTAAATTAGATAAATATTTTATAGTATATGGACAATATAATTAGTTTAATAATGTTACTTGAACTAAGAATTATATTTTCAAATAAGGTAAATTATAGTAAACCCACATGAAATTTCAACATTTTGCAGTAAATAGACTATGTGAACTTTCAAAATCACACTAAACCTCTAATAACTTTTGTAGAAAGCCCCCATTGTCTTTTAGATAAATTACACCAACCCCCAATAACTCTCAAAATGCCTTTTTATGCCATTTCCTAGTTCTAACTTATAGGGGTTACCTGCAAAATTTAGAAAGTTATTGTGGTTCTTCTTTGAAACAAAAAATTCATTAGTGATTTAGTGTAATTTTGAAAGTTCATATGAGCTAAAAGTTCATAAAGCTTTAGTATAATTTATCCTATTAAATAATTATAATGAGAAGTATCAATTACAATATGTTGCAAGTATCAAGTGTAACTATCTGGGGAACATCAGGAAAAAGCTAGCAATATTAATGCAGCTTAGTTAATTTAGAGTTAAGTTAACAATTTTCAAGTTTGAAGAACATATTTAAGAGAACTTATAGAATTGACAGTTTTATTTAAGAACAATTTTAGATTTGGGGACTTATTTAGAAAAAGGTTAACATTGGGCGATCGTTATGAGAAAAGCATTCAATTACAATAACTACATAATAATAATTAATTCACACATTTCTTTTTAAGCAATCATATTATACAATTTTATTTATTATTACATAGTTTTATTATTCAATAAAAAATCACAACTTAAAACATATATGTTCATGTGCAAAGCACATGCATTATACTAGTATTAAGAAATACAGATGGTCTTATGAAATGAAAATACGTATAATGCAACTTGGTTTGGTATGCAGATGTGCACAAACATGTAAGAATAGTCAACCGATACACGAAAGAAACTTTGGAGGTCATAGATGATGCTATTAGGGAGGAGGGTAAATCAGCAATAAAATTAAAAAAAAAGGTAAAAGCTTTTTCATAGAATCAGGGACAAGAACAACAAGGCATGCATGAGTATATTTGCAAAGCTGTAAAAAAGAAATTTGCGTCATCTTAAAGTTATTGCCTTATTGCATTGACATAATCTGTAACAACATGATGCGAGCAAGCATTGGAATTTGTATTCCTCTTGGTTGAGGTTATTTTCATCTTTTGGAAGGCTGGAGAAAGACAGGAATTTGGGGGCTAGGTTTGGTGGGTACGTAACAAGTAGGAGTCTCCAATAGAAGCAAATGTGCAACTAAAAAAACTTTTTCCCACTCTATGATTTTCACTGTTTCAACTTGTGCTGTCCACCAGAGAATTCATGGATATTAATTATCAAGTTACTAAGTGTATATTCAACCATGAGTTCTCATTTCCTGAACAACTGCTAGTCTCCATGCTATGGTTCATTGAAGCATTCTCCTCAGATCAATACTTGGTAAAAAGAAGATGAAAACATACTTGTATTCAATGCAGGAACTGCCAAACCACATCGGAGCTTAACCCAGAAACAGGGAAGATAGCCACAGTAGAACAGCCCAAATATGGCACTGCTAAGCTGTGCAAAACGAGGATTCCCTCTCTGTAGAATTAATGCCATTGCAACAACAAAAGCGGACGATGTCACAGGTACATCCATCTGACCAAAATACCTAGCCAATACAATAAAGAAAATATTCAGCTAAGACTTCTCGTGATGAATACAAATGTGGAAAGACAACTTATATACAACATATGCATGCAAAACTACGGCATACTGTCAAAACAACCATATAAAGAGTGATTGCATTGTCCACATTCACCTTAGAAGTAGGGACATTTCCTCAATACTGAAGACATCGTCGTAAATAAAACTAAAAGTGCAAGAACCAAAAATGTATTCTTAGAAACAAATGGAAAGAAGCACGCCCAAGCCTATCGACTTTCAACACAACAAAGAATTACTCAAACAAGTAGGTGTAATTAATGAAGAAAACAAGCATACAATGATGAAAAATGTAGTACGTGCAAAGGTCATCCATGTCAACTTAGTTAATAGCTAGGGAAATTATGTAAACTTTTGGACTCATCTACCTGGAAGCTTAAACTATTGGAAAATTGGTTGCTGAACTTACAATGTTAGCATGGGCATGAGTGTGCATATCACAGAGCAAACCCTGGACACATATCTCGGAGGAGGTGGCATCCCATCAGAAATACCCCGGCTCCTTACAAGTTCAAAATATTCCCTGGATGCAGCAAACACTGCGGCTGCAACTGCTGTAGTAAACACCCATCCTCCAGCCACAACTATTGCACCAGTGCCGAGCCCAATTCCAAGCCCAAACACCACCCGCTTTCTTAGCTGATCCATAGCCAAAGCTTGTGAACCCTGCACCACAAGCATGGGTTTATATGGCAGTGAACATGACCAAAGATTAGGTTTTGGGATCTGCCACAATCCCTGAGCAAACATATTAATAAATTCTATCTTTAACTCAAAGCATGAATAAATTCTTTCTTTAACTAAAAGCAACATATGGACAAATTCCATCTAGTAATTTTCCCTTTGATTTTCAAACTTCTCCTATATGCTTAATTGCCACGTAGGATCTGTGTCAAGATCATCAGATGTTCGTGATTTATTGCAAGAAGTTTGACACCAATTATAGGTCCACAACAGGTTAATACCTACTAAAAACTTCGGAGTATGACCGTATGAGTTCACATATTAATACATGACACCAGTGCTGGTAAAATTTTAGTGTTAGATTTAACTAAAGACAACCCTAAATAGTGATGGAAATCTACAAACTGAGTAATGTAAGCCCTTTGCAGCAATAAATTTGCACTAAATTTCAACCAATACTTTTAACACAACATCAACATCACAGGGTTGTAGAATTCTCAACTCATTAATGCAGTTGAAAACATTCAGATAATAAATTTCGATTACTAGTCTAAGTTCCGGAACTTTGCATCCCTAGAACCCTAGTTTTCCATTAGGTACAACTGAATACGGTTACTTCAACTCATTTAATGCAATTAAAAAAATTCTTACGAGAAATTACGATCACTAGTCTAAGTTAAAGAACTTTGGATCACTAGAACCCTAATTCTCGATTAATTGCTAAAGAATTCGATTACCTCAGCAGCCTTTCCATCTCTGAGCTCGTCGTCATCGGGCTTCACTGCATCGCCGGAGAGAGGCACGAACGCGGTGATGGACCGCAGGAATCCGCCACGGGATCGTCGAAACGAGATGGTGAGCTTGAGATTCTGCAGAGATCGAAATCGAGCTTGGCGGGAAAAACTTAGGGGTCTTAGGGTTTGGGATTGGCAAGGGCAGAGAGAGGTGAGGGAGAGAGGGAAGACGCCGCAGCGGTCGAGATCGAGGGCGGCGGAGGAGGGTATCATTGCTATTGGTGATCCGGCGGAGTATCAGATCGGTGGCACTGGCACGGAGGAGGGTATCACTGTTTTTGTTGTTTGCCTATTTTCACTTTGGCACCCCACAGTTCACCTATTTTCTTAGTGTAATATATCGAAACATTTTTTTAACACTTTCATACCCTCAAAGTTTCAAATCCATTTCAATTTGATCTTAGCCTGGAATTCATTCATAAGATTTTATGTTAAATCTGTATTATAGGACAAATTTTCAAAACCAACCTATTTACAAATTTAATCACAGAAAACAACCCACTTCAGATTTAATTGCAAAAACCGACCTGGTTTCAGCCTTGGCGCTGAAACCAGGTCGGTTTTTGTGAAAAAACTTTCGAAACTTCACGGGAGTTGAACTCCCGTGAAGTTTCCCAGTACAAAAAAAAAAAATTTGAACTACGAAACTTCACGGGAGTTCAACTCCCGTGAAGTTTCGGATAAAAATTTTCAAAAACCGACCTGGTTTCAGCTCCAGGGCTGAAACCAGGTCGGTTTTTGCAATTAAATCTGAAATAGGTTGTTTTCTGCTATTAAATTTGTAAATAGGTTGGTTTTGAAAATTTGTCCCTGTATTATATTTAATCCAATTTACCAGGCTTTAGGATCCGAACAATCCAACATTTTCAGAAGCTTTTCTAGGGATATCACAGGTTAAGCATGTAATATAAATTTAATAAAAAAGACTAAGTCTAGACGGGAGTATAGCGAGCTAAGCATGTGTTATGAGTTTAACAAAAAATACAATGAATTTGGGATGGGGCTATGGAAGCAAAATGAGCTCAAAACTTTGGGTATCAAAATGTTAAAATTAAGTTTGAGTGATCAAACTGAAAATTTAGTAAAACTTGGGGTAATAGTGTAAACAAGCCTTTCGTTGGGTTAACTTTTTGCATGTTACTTGAACATAAACAAATGCAAAAAATTCCCATCTCACAACAATAACAAATGCGTTAAACAAAATTTCCTAAATAGGCAATTGAAAGAGCATTGTAGCTATACTATTTGTATCAGTGTGATCATTGACTTCAAATATATAATAGTAATAAATAACACTACAGACACACTCTCCACCACACTCTTCACCACACCCCTCTCCTGCTACAGTGCAGGGGCCCACCTGAGATTTTTTAAAAAATCTCAGATGGGCCCCCTGTACTGTAGCAGGAGAGGGGGTGTGGTAAAGAGTGTGGTGGAGAGTGTGCCTGTAGTGCCACTCAATAGTAATGCTACTCCTGTAGTGTTCTTCTTCCTCAAAATATTCTATATAAAGAAACTTTTATATGATACTTTATACACCTTCAACACTTAGTCATAGGCAACTAAGAAGGATATAATGAGCCTTTTATAGGACACTTTATACGTCTTTAACACTTAGTCATAGGTAATTAAGAATGATATCATAATTTTTTTTTAGCTGAAGGATATGGTATTATTTAACTTAAAGGAGGAAATGACCAAATTGAAGAATAGAATTTATATAGTCAACCATAAAATTTTAGGGTAAATGCTTTGTCATTATTGTTATGTTTTTTTTACAGGATATTATTATTTTCCAAATATTTTTATCAAGTTAATAATTAAGGCTTGGTGATATTATCGGATAGAATTAAGATGTGTATAACAGTAAGCTCAACAAACATCAAGGGCTAAAAATTTATAGAATTACTTTACTAGTACTACTGCCCCAGATTATTATGTTGCATAATAATAGAAAGTATTAAAGTGTAAATTTTAAAAACTTTAGAATATATAAAGGGTGTCAAATACAAATGATGATATATAAGTGCAAAGTACAGAAAACTAATTGGTTTCTGAGTGATGATTAACCGTCTTTTTTTATCCTAATCTTTCGTGGTTTTTGTTCTGTACTCAATCAAGTACTTGGGATTCAACTAAACTCAGTTTGTCTTTCGGCGTATTTTGACTTTACTACCCGAAGTTTGCCTATTTTTTCATTTTGTTACCCTAAAATACTTCTCAACACTTTGGCTCCCCCTAAAGTTTTAATCACGGTTCCCTTTAATCCCGGCCCAAATTTAATTAATTTTTGTGTTAAATTCTTATTATAATTACGTCATTTTGCCCAAGTTCTAAGGATCCAAACAACCAAATGTTTCCGATGCATTGGACAGGGGTATCACATTTAGCTTTCAACATTTTTCAAAAATCCCCTCCAACGAGGCTAATCACAAGGTTCATATAGGTGGGTAAATTTACACAGATTATTTTTGCTAGTAAAAATTACGGTTCACACTTTTAGAGAGTTTATTTTGAAAACATTGAAGGTTGAAGGGAGTTTTTTGAGAACCTGAAAACTTAATGATGTTTCGTGACAATTTTAAAATGTTAAGGCAGTTTATCTTAAAAGGCCCAAAGTTATGGGTTTTGGTGAAATTTACCTAAAACCCTATCCACATTCTTATATTTAGTGCCAAAGCTTTGTTGTTGTTATTTCTTTTTAGTGAGAAATATTAATCTACTCCTCTATACTTATAGGAGGATCAAAAAATTCACTATTCATGTTACAGTATAGGTTATATGTTATTACTGTAGCAATAATACTATACCACAAAATAGAATACTGTAGCAAAAAAAAAACAAAAACAAAATGCCGTAGCATTTTAAAAAATATTGTAGCATTCACAAAAAATTTACGGTAGCATTAAAAAAGAATTACTGCAGCAAAAAATAGGAAAAAGTGGTCGCGCCTTGAAGGGGGCACACTAGTAATAATAACATTGAGAAAGAGAAGTGATTACACTATCCAAATTATGGGTGTGTTTGACAACTTCAAAAATAGACTAGGCTAAATTTTTTTGGTGTGTTTGCCAAACTGCTAAAATTGGGCCGATCTGAATCTGACTCAATTTTGAGTTTACTTTTAATTGGCAAAAACTGGGCTAGTTCCAGCCTATTTTTTAGGCTAAAAAGCGGCCATGAAACCATTTTAGTGTTGAACCAAGGGAGTGGTGGTCCAACACTAAACTAGTTTAGAGTAGAATTAAGCCAAACACATTATTAGTTTTTTTTAACCAGGCCAAAGATAGTCAAAGTATATGGTGGTTAAGAAAGAACTAGTTTAAAGTCTAAATGTTGAACTAAATAAAACTAGTTTAACTTTGGCCTAATTATTGCAAAACTAAAAACTAACTTTTGTACTAACGTTATACCCACTAACATTAATTTTGTGGAGTTGTCAGAAACACACCGAGTCCATTTTCATATTTGTGCGTGTTTATATAAGGGATAAAATCTAATCAAATATTGTTTTGTTGCACGTGCATTTGCATTTTACTGAGGATATGTAACTAAAATCACAAATCCAAGTGACATCACCATAATTTTAGGAGTTCACCTTTGATGCATTTATCCTATGTATCAACTTGAAATTCGATGCATGAAAAGTAATAAACTAATATTATATTTGATAATAATAACCTAGGATTTTAATCTCGTGGGTCCCTGTTTTCAATGCAAAAAACCACAAAAAAAGTGAAAACAATATTGTAAAGAGTGCTGCTACGGGGACTCAAAATATAGGACCAATGGAGGGGACAGGTGAGGTGTCCCCTCCCTATTGCATAATGAGTTGGTCATGCCAACTCATTATGCAATAGGGAGGGGACACCTCACATGTCCCTTCCATTGGTCCCATATTTTGGGTCTTTAAATCATTTTTCAAAAACCACAAAAAAAGTGAAAACAAAATCCCCTCCATGTGGATTCAAACATTACGAACCCAAATCGTATCAAATTTATACACGGTGGCATTTGTAATCCCAAACCAATATCCTAGCGCATTACCTAGAATATCCTGCGAGACACAATAAATTTCCTGAGCACTAATATATATGCTGAATAAACAAATCATGAAATCTCCCAAAACTCTTTGCGGTCCAAATTCACATTTACTCTTTTAAAAAAAAAAAAAAAACCGTTGGCTTTGGCATTTTGTAAATTGTCTGTAGTCATTACAGCCTCAATGGCTTTTGACCGCATCAGCGGTTGGTACGTTTCGCGATTGATACAAGAAAAAATTGCGAGCTATTCAAAGTTTAGTACAAGAAAAGCACCGCCTCATGCGCCAAATCCATAACACACAGCCAATACTCGAGATCTTGAAATCTTCCTGCTGAACTAAACGAAGTATTTGGTGAGAGTTCCAGCATTTGCACATATCAAGAGGTAAAACTCAGCCGGTAACAAAGAACAATTCTCTTCATAATCTCCATCATCATCTTCATAATCTTCCTCATCTCTATACTAGATCGCTCTCGCAACCAGCAGCGAGTCTCGATATGTTGACTCAACCAGATACATGCAGTCACGAATCAGGGCAAATTTTGAAAACCGTCCTATCTACAAAAAAAATTGTCAAAACTGACCTATTCTAAAAAAATTTGTCAAAACCTACCTATTCTAAAAGAATTTGTCAAAACCGACCTAGTTACAGCCGTCTGGTTGAAATTGGATCGGTTTTGACAAATAAAAGTCTGAAACTTCACGGGACTTGAAGTCTCGTAAAGTTTTTTTACTCAGAGACTTGCAAATGGCTCATTTTACTTAATGAAAGGTTCATTTTCTACTAAAATTTTTCACGGGACTTGAGGCCCCGTGAAAGATTTGTCGCCCTTAATTAATGTCATTATAGGCTGCTAAACTTCACGGGACTTCAAGTCTCGTGAAGTTTCAGACTTATTTTTTCTCAAAACCGACCCAGTTTCAACCCGATGGCTGAAACTAGATCGGTTTTGACAATTTTTTTTTAAAAATAAGTCGGTTTTGACAAATTTTTTTGTAAATAGGACGGCTTTAAAATTTTGTCCTCACGAATCAACGAGTTTGGTGCGTTTGCTATTTGTTACATCTTCTTATTGCCTTCAAGATCGAAAACCATGGCTATCCCCAGATAATTAATAGCATAAATTTGGGTTGTCCCAGAAAAACCTCAACGTTCAGGGATGTTTTGCAAGAAACCCCAAATTTCAGGTGTTTGGTAGGAAAAAGGCTCAGATGAGAAACCTCAACGTTCAGGGCTTTCGTGAAATTTAGCGAACAAAGAACTCACAAACTATATGGGCTTGATTTGGGCTTCAAGTCCAAAGGCCCATTTGTGTTTTTAAAATTTATTTATAGTTTGTTTGGGAGTTTACTTAGGAAAGGGAAGAGGAAGGAAGGAAGGAAAAAATTCGCATATGAATAGGTCAACAACTGGTTAATTACCAATATTATTTCATTGGAAAAGGCACAGCCAATGACTACAAAGATAATGTTAGCGTATGAACGTACGACTATATGAGTTCGCATATGAATCCGTGCATGACCTTTTTTTTGGAAAATGATAGGGGTACACCCCCAACCACAATCTCAATCACACCCTCTCTCATTTGCTACAGTGTGTCGGGCTCCACATGAGATTTTAAAATCTCATATGGAACCCGACGCACTATAGCAAATGAGAGAGGGGTATGGTTGATATTGTGGTTGAGGGTGTGCCCCTAGTGCCACCCTTTTTTTGAGCTGAAAAACAGTGTGCAGATCCGTTGCTTCATTATTATATTATATAATATATATATAATATATATATATTATTATAATATATATATATATAATATATATATATATTATATATATAATATATAATATATATAGGTGAAAACTCCTATCAACTTAAGTGATAGGAAATAGTTGTCACCAAACTTTTTATCCATGGATCTTGCCTATGGATCCTTGCATGATATGAAGAGACTTTTTATATTAATAAATGAGTGGCTAAAAGTTTGGTGGATAACTATTCCCTATCCACTTAAGTTTGATAGGAGTTCTTGCCTCTCTCTCTCTCTCTCTCTCTCTATATATATATATATATATAGAGCTAGAAAAATATACAGACTTGTAAAATTGTGAAACCGAAGAGTCCAGAAGCGAAATGTAGATAGAGAACAGACCTTGTCGTCACCTATCTAGACAAAACACCCATGAACCTTCCTCTCAACAAAGAGCACAACCGGAAAAAAAAACTAATAAAAGAGAATGAGAGTCATGCTAATACAACCGACAAAACGATATCACCGAACGTCCAAGAAGAAGCATAGGGAAACCATAGACAGAAACCAAAAAACACCATGAGAGTCAGATAAAACGAATGAGAGAGGGGGTGTGGTTGAGATTGTGGTTGGGGGTATGCCCCTAGTGCCACCTTACAGACCTTGTCGTCACCTATCTAGACAAAACACCCATGAACCTTCCTCTCAACAAAGAGCACAACCGGGAAAAAAAAACTAATAAAAGAGACTGAGAGTCATGCTAATACAACCGAAAAAACGATATCACCGGACGTCCAAGAAGAAGCATAGGGAAACCACAGACAGAAACCCAAAAACACCATGAGAGAGATAAAGCGAAGAAGAAGAACCCAAAAGTACTTCTGCAGCATTCCCCTAAGCAGTCACCAGACCTTTATACAAATGACCCTCTAGCGAACTGCTACACCAATCCAGAACTCCATAATCCTCTTAGTCTGTAGAGATTATCTCCCACTTCATCTGCTACTTTCCTTTTCGCAATTTCTTCAAATTGAAGCTTGATTGCAGCCCTACGGATCCTTCTGGCAATCCTGTCCTCCTGTGCACCTATCCATAGAAGAGTATATCTGGCTACATTAGCTGCAATGTGAACATGGTTAGTCTGAATATCTCTAAAAATAAGGTAGTTGTGACCTTAATGCTGGTAAATTGTTAAAGTGTTAGATTTCCACCAAAGATGACTCCTAATAGCTATGAATTGTATGAAATGAGTAATGCAAACCCTTTCCAATTGTTCTTCTACATTGGAGTTAGCTTACAGTCACCAAATTTCAGCAAGAAACTTGCCACTAATTTCAGTAGGAATTCTGCTCTAAATTGCAAACAGTGCTTTAGCCCTACGGATCCTCGGCTCATTTCATGCAAATACAAATGAGTCAAATAATAAATTTGGATCACTAGTCCAAGTCCAAGAACTTTAGATGACTAGAACCCTAATTTTCGATCAGGTACAACAGAATTTGATTGCTCCCATAAGAAAATTCAGCCACTAGTCTTAGGTCCAAGAACTTTGGATCACTAGATCCTAATTTTAGATCAAAAACAAAAGAACTTGATTACCTCAACGGCCTTTTCCATCTCTGAGCACACCGCCATCAGGCTTCGCTGCATCTCCTAGAGAGGCATGAAGGAGGCGATGGATCGCCGGAATACACCACGGGGTCGTACTATTTCATCCATCGCAATAATCTTCAGGTCCATAATAATGGTCATCAGTTTGTACCTAAGAAACTTAAATACTGCGAGTATTTAAGACAAGGAACAATGCTGAGAGCATAACCGGGAACAATGTTTATACATGTAATGAAGAGTAATGTACTTGGCATGGTAAATTAACCCCCACTACATAAGTAAAAACACCACATACACAAAAACCAAACTTAACCAATCAATAGTATACATAACTACCGTGGATTTGGCGAGATCCAGATGGGCGGAACAAGGTACTTAAGATTCAGTTCGGTAAATTCTTCAAAGCTTTTATCTCTGTAATCATATATGCCCATGTCACAAATAGAATAATTCTCACGAATATCTTTTGACCATGTCACAAATAGAATAATTCTCACGAATATCTTTTGATTTTCCCCGTGCTGTTATTGTATGCCCTATCAACCCATGCTATGTTAAAATATATGCAATTTGGCTCGCAGCCTTGATAGTCGATAGCTCGTACACAAAACGCCCAAGAACAAAGTTTGATCGCCCAAGCTTTCCATCTCACAACCCATTTGAACTTGACCTCACCTCCATTTGGGACTATGCTGTTGTGCTCACCTCTAATCTGGGACTCTGCGGTTGATGGTAGCATAGGTAGGACCTTCAACCTTCAAACTTCACTGGCTTATCAATAGCTTCAAGCTTGTACACCACAAAGTCAGTAGTTGTAGACCAACCTTCATCATCTTCAAGATTTTTTATATTGCTATATAAGAGCTCTCTTGCAACTAGCAGCAAGTCTCCACGCGTCTGACTCAACCAAATACATGTGGTCACCAATCCATGGCTTTGGTGCATTTGCAATTTGTTTCATCTTCTTATCCCCTGCGAGATCGAAAACCACAGCTATCCCGACATAATTAATAGCATAAATCTGACCCTTGTAACATTGTAACAGATGATATCTTGGATGTGTTTAAGAGAATCCTCTACATTTGTCCACTTGTCATCTCCGAGCATGCAAAACGATAGCACACAGAAGTTGGACATAATTAATACACGATCATCATCATCATCATTATTGAAGTTTCTCCTCTTATATGAAGGATCAGATAATATAACGACCTTCTCTATAAACCTAAAATCATTGACTTCACCGTCTATGAAACTGCCCTCTGGATGTTGAAATGCATCAAGAGATGGGAGAGGGATTTGGGCTCTTGTTAATGGATTCAAGAGTTGAATGTCTCGGCCTTGGATATCAACAGTACACAACCAACCATGATTAGATCCAAGAAGCCACTTATTTCTTATTTCTGGCACAAGTAACTCGCCGTAATTGATGTCTTCCCACTAGTTATCATGACATTGCTAATACATTGCATTAGCAATGGTATGGGAGGGGGTTTATTGGGAAGGATACAGTGGCATAATGGTAATTTTGGTACATTGCATTAGCAATGGTATGGGAGGGGGTTTATTGGGAAGGATACAGTGGCATAATGGTAATTTTGGTGGAAGCAAGTGAAGGCTATCAATGACGTTTATTGGGAAGGATACAGTGGCATAATGGTAATTTTGGTGGAAGCAAGTGAAGGCTATCAATGACAATGGAGCGAAATTTCCTACAAACGACACCACACCAAATCGGAGAATGTCCGCATGATCAGCTATCTTTTCAGCGATTAGCTGCAAGATATCAACATAGAGTTCATCTAACAAGCCCATTTATAATATTCCTGAAAAAATAAATACTGAGAAAAAATTTAGGAAAAAAAATCACGAGGCAATAGACTAAGTAATTGATAAGTTAAAACATGACCCAAAACAGTAGTATAAAATAATAACGTATATTCTAATGAGGATGGAGAACATTCTGCATCTTTAGAATGATTATATTTATAAGAAAAAGAATAAAAACATGATGTAAGACAGTAGCACAAAGTAATGTATAGTCTGACGAGGATAGAGAATGCCTTTAGAATAATTACATGGATAATAAAAAAGCAGTTTGTCTAATTTGGATCTTCTCAGTCGTCTATTGGATTCCATCTGGTCCGAGTAGTCGACGATCACCGGTCTCTTCCCAACAGATAGGGGATCTGCATCGCCTCCCATATAAGGCTTCGTAACGTGCCATGTTAATGCTAGAATGAAAGCTATTGTTGTAGGCGAACTCTACTAGCGGCAAGTGCACAACCCAATTGACTCCGAAATCTAAGGTGCACGCTCTCAGCATGTCCTCGAGGGTCTGTATCGTTCTCTCGAATTGTCCATCAGTCTGAGGATGTGCTGAAGTGCTGAACTTCAGTCCAGTCCCTAAAGCTCGATGTAGGCTTTTCCAAAATCTTGAGGTGAAACGGGGGTCTCGATCTGATACAATGGATATGGGAATTCCGTAGAGCTTCACAATCACTTCAATGTATAAGCTGATCAACTTTTCCATGGTATACGACATCTTGTAGGGTATGAAGTGTGATGATTTGGTCAGGCGGTCAACTACCACCCATATAGCATCTTCTCCTTTTGTTGAGCGAGGTAGTCCAGTAGCAAAATCCATGGTGATGTGATCACATTTTCATTCTGGGATGGGCAAATGTTGTAATAGTACTGATGGTTTCTGATGTTCAATCTTCACATGTTGGCATGTTAAACACTTTGAAATGAATTTAGCTATCTCCTCCTTCCTGCGGTTCCACCAGAAGTTTTGTCGAATGTTCTGATACATCTACCCGGATGAAGAGCATATAGGGTTTGGTGAGCTTCTATCAATATATGATCCTTAAGCTCTCCATCATTGGGTACACAAAGGCGATTACTCATCTTCAAAACACCGTCTTGAATTTAAAAGTTTGAATATTTTCCTGTTCCATCTTCTTCTTTATCTCACATAACTCCTTGTCTTCCTTCTGCCGCTCCTTGATTTGGTCCAATAGAGTTGGTTGTAGGCTTATCTGACAAATCTTCATTTCGGAAGAATACTTTCTAATTTCAATCTCTATTCTCTCTAGCTCCTTACTTAACTCAGCTTGTTTGCTCCTCTGCTTGTTTAGTTAGTGTTATGGTGTTCACTCACCTAAGATACAGTGTTTGCAAAATAATGCAATAAGAGCCTTAGTAAACTCTCAAGAGTTCTAGGCATTGGACTCCTCAGTCGAATTTCAAGCCCTTAGTACCTTATTAGGGTAAACCCAAGGCACAACGACTTCTCAGTTGAATAAAAAAGCTCTTGGCTTTTTATCAAGGAATAAACCCAAGGCACAATCACAGAGGCCTCGGCTCCACTAGCTCATCAAGCAGACACTCTGGTGTCGACATGAGATGCGATATGAGTCGACACGAGAGATCCTGACCTCCCAGACGAGTCAACATCTTTTATATCGACTCAAAAGACAGTTCTTAGCTAAGGCAAGACGACATTCCAACTAGTTGAACATGCCGACATTCCTGAGTCAACACGAAATGCGGTACTGGTCGACTCTATCATCGAGGATGACTCTACTTAGGGCACTCGACCGCTCAATGGACATTTCTCAGAAACGACTTAAGGGACATTCCCTGCTGTCTACTAAATTGAGGGCTCAACCCCGGCCTCAAGCCTCTCCCCCAGAGCAAATGTTGACGCCTCAGTCCACTTTAGACAAGTCTTATCCAGATTTTGGCCTGACAAATCTCCATGACTTGTCAATTTAATCACTTCTCAGGAAATGCGGAGACACTCTCCCATAATGAAGTAACTCCCCTTCCAGTCGCCAGCTGACATCTGTAAAACAAGGGATGACTCAGTATGTCCACGTGACTTCTGCCACCCTCACAAGTCACTTCCCGGACATCGCGGAGATACTATCTCCCATACTGAAATGTCTTCCCCTCCAGTCGCCAGCCGATACCTATAGGACGAAGGATGACTCACCTTCCAGCTAACACTTTGTCACCACCATTCTGTATGATCGAAATAACCAGTCTGCCATGGACATCCGCTTTATATATAGAGGTTGTTCAACATCTAACGAAAAGAAGGAAGAGAGGGGGAGGAGGATCTAACCCAATCTAACCTAACAAAAAACTCTCGGAGCAATTCAAATCTTCCTCCTGATCCAAACCTTAGAGATGATCATCTCTAATGCACATAGCATAAGAACACAATTCTAAACTCCGCTCAAGCTTAAGTTTATCAACTAAACTTGACCGTCGGAGGAATCACAGGGGAATCGGTCCCCGCCCTCTCACGGATTTTTCTTGTCTGTGCAGTGTGGACATCAAATCCTCGTTCAAGAACTAGGCATAAAGTCGAATAAGGGAGCGGGCCCTCCATCATTCTTCATCACCCTGCAACCATCCTCTTCTGAATTAATTGGCTGTTTGATAAATTGCATCAACAGTTAGCAAAAAAGCTGATGCAATATGATTCTTTCAACTAAGTGCATCTGCTACTACATTAGCTTTACTTGGATGGTAAAGGATATTTACATCATAATCTTTCAGCAATTCCAACCATCTTCTTTGCCTCATGTTAATCTCCTTCTAAGTAAATATATACTTTAGGCTCTTGTGATTTGTATAAATATCACATGATACCCCATATAAATAGTGTCTCTATATCTTCAGAGCAAAAATCACAGCAGTCAATTCCAAATCATGAGTGTGATAGTTCTTCTCATGAGGCCTCAATTGCCTGGAGGCATAAGCCACCATCTTCTCTTTCTACATCAGAACACATCCTAAACCTCTGAAAGATGTATCATTATATATCACAAACTTATCTGAACTCGTAGGGATAGCGAGGATGGGAGCAGTTACCAACCGTTTCTTCAACTCCTGAAAATGCTCTTCGCATTTCTCACTCCAAATATACTTGGCATTCTTACGAGTCAAATAAGTTAAAGGGCTGCTAATTAGGGAAAGTCTTTGACAAATCTTCTATAATATCCTGCTAGTCCCCAAAAGCTACGAATCTCAGTCACTGAGGTAAGACACGACCAGTTCACGACAGCTTCAACCTTCGTTGGATCCACGGATATCTCATCTCTAGTGATCATATGACCCAAAAACATAACATTTTCTAGCCGAAATTCACACTTCTTAAACTTTGTGTATAGCTGTTGTTCCCTTAGGGCTTGCAATACAAGAGCTCCTTGAAGTTGATCAAATAGATCATCTATCATTGGGAGTGGATACTTATTCTTAATGATCAATTTATTCAACTCTCTGTAATCTATACAGAGTCTCATACTCCCATCTTTCTTTTTCACAAATAAGACCGATGCTCCCCATGAAGACAAGTTGGGTCTAATGAATCCTTTATCCAATAACTCCTGAAGTTGATCCTTCAGTTCCTTCATCTCAGCTGACGCCAATCTATAAGGGACTTTAGATATAGGAGTGGTCACTGGGACCAAGTCTATGGCAAACTCTCTCTCTCGATCTGGAGGCTATCCTAGCAAATCTTCTGGAAAGACATCCGGGTAATCTCTTATAACAAGTATATCTGAAAGCTTTTTCTCATTCAATTGGTCAGTTATCACACAAGCTGAATATCCACTACAACCTTGTCTTAACAATTTGTTAGCCTTCATAAGTGAGATTAGGTGTGTGAGTGGTCTTCTACTTTCCTCTTGAAAAACAAAACTCGCCTCCTCTTGTAGTTTAAATTTTATCAGTTTTCTCAAATAGTTTACAGTAGCATGATGAGATGCTAACCAATCTATTCCTAGGATAAGATCAAAATCTGACATATCTAGACATATAAGGTCTGCATTCATGACATGATCACTCACTAAAACTCCACAATTCTCATAAACATATGTTGCTAGGAGACTGTCACCCATAGGTGTGGAGACAATTATTTCACTACTTAATAGTATCGGCGAATTGGGAAAGTTCCTAGCAAAGTGAGGTGATACAAAAGAGTGTGTAGATCTAGGGTCGAAAAGTGCATAAGCGATGAATGAGCATATGAGAAGTGTACCTTCCACTACAGATGGCGATGCTTGTGCATCCTTCCTTGTTAGAGCGAAAACTCTTCCTTGGTTCCTCTGGTTCTGCTGCACACTCTGGTTGGACTAGGGAGCATTTGATTGTTGTGAGGCATTAGCTCAAACTGTACGATTTTCTTCTGGTGCTCGCTCTGTTATCGATTGATTCCTCAAAGTTGGACAATCTCTCTTGAAATGCGCAAGTTGACCACACTCATAACATCCACGGTGAAGTCTACAATATCAGGAGTGATGGTTGCCACATCTTGGACAGACTGAGACTGCTGACTTGTTTGGCTGGTTTGCTTGATCACGACGAAAGGAAAATTTTATTATCGCTGACCTCCCGGGCTAATTCGATGCTAACTTGTCGGCTATGGGACCTCCTTCTGTCCGTGAGCGTTTAGCTAGACTCTGCTTCTTATTGCGGAGCTCCTGATACTCTAACTGGTCTTTCTCAATTTC